GTAACCAGAACAATATAAATAATTTTAATTTTGAGATTTTAAACTTTTAATGTTATATTTGGGAATAAGAATTTAAAATTTTGAATTCCATTTGTTATGTAAATAATAAGAATAAAATGTATGTATTTTTTAAAAAAAAATTGAACAAAATTTGGTTCGTTTTATAAGTTTCTTCTATATTATAAATTTTATATTATATAAAAATTATGATAATAAAATGAAAATACTAAATTGATCATGTTTTAAAGTTGGAAAAGGCTTACGTCGATTTATTAAATATTATTATTTTTATAATTTTAATATATAATATGTATAGGCATATAGCTCAAATGCTCGATCACCTCAATGATTGGGGATTAATTTTTGTCCTTATTATTTATAAGGTTAATTATCTTTTTGATAAATAAATTATATTTGATTCTTTAATATGTTTTTCTCTTAATTTTATACATAATATTTTTGTCGTTAATGAATTTATTTATTTTTCTTGATAAAACCTGACGTGACTTTTTAACTAATCAGACATTAATACGTAATATATTTAATATTTAATTCAAACAAATTAAACGAATAATTCAATCCTTTTGTCCGAACCCTATTTACTGGCAATAGGAGCTGTATAATTCCATTTTGTCTACGCACGTGGATAACACACGCCATTGGTGAAACTAACCAACGCTTGAGGTGACGTAGTCTTCGGGCTCAATTCGACTCCCCCGCCACGTTTGCAATGCTATGCGATCTCATGCCAACCACGCGCCTCTACATAGTTACCCACACACATTCGAATACATAAAATCATGAATATTTTAAATTAAAAATAAAAATTAAAGGAAAAAAAGGCATCGAAGGTACTTGTATTTCGAATTTTTTTTTGATACGATCGTCATATTAATTTTTCTCTCAACATGATCCTCCAACTAAGAAAATAAACCTAATGTGACTCTTTAATCAATATTTTTTTGTCATTGACTGTTAAAGTGCTGAAGTGACATTTCATGGTGTTAACGTGACAGTCTAGAGTGGTATATTAATGTGGCGAATTATATGGCATGTGAACTAAATTGACAAATCAAATATGACATATGAACTGCCACACCAACACCATGAACTAGCACGCTGATACTATAATAGTAAACGACAAATGTTGGTCAAAAGGTCATGTTGGGTTTGTTATAAGTTAGAAGATCACATTGAGAAAAAAATAATACAAGAGTCAGATTGATTTTTTTCCCAAAAGTACAAGGACCTATGATGTATTGTTTCCAAAATAAAATTAAAAATTAAAATAAATAAATAAATTATGCAAGATAGATTTCACATAAATTATGCGAGCCGTGAGGCATATGCAATAAGCAAAAGTGCACAAACCAAGAAGAAACCCAACGAAAATGAAAAAGTGACGGCACGCGTTGAGTCCACGTGTCTTGTCTCCATTCATCATTCACCGGTTCCTAGCCACGCGCCTCCCTGTGTACCATTTTCTCCCTCCACGCTCTTTCTCTCCCTAAAAAATACACTTCTACAACAACTAAAAAAAAAGCTTTCATTTTTCCTTTCTTCCTCCCCAGTCGTACTATTAAACCTGCTTTCTTTTTTATTCTTCAAAGGTTATTCCACCATCTTTGTCTTCTCAGTTATACGTCGTGTCTTTGGGTCTCTAACACATGATCTTGAAATGGGTTTTTTGATTCACTGAGATGAATTGTTTTATGATTTTTAAAGTTACCCTTTTTCTGTATGCATCTTATTTGCTTGTATTATCCAAAAATTGTATATTAGATTGTATTTCTGGGTTTTATTTATTTATTGTTGTAGTGATAATCTGGGAAACCCTTTTTTGTGTTTGATTCGTGTTGTTTGATTTGAGAATCGTGCAAAGTCAGCTTGCATTAAATTACAAAGTAATACCCCACAATTTCGTTTCAATCTTCCAAGTTTGGAACCCGATTTATTGATTTAGTTTCATGAATCAACTTTGAATTGTTTATTTTCTTGTTGTAGGTAAATTTTTGGTGGTTTTTGAACTTACCGGTGAAACATGGGTTCTGAGTCTCCAGCTCCATTGGTTGAGCCGACAAATGCAGCCGAGAATACATCTGTTGGCAGGTTAGTTGCCTTTGAACATCTTAGGAACCAACCCTAGTTAGTTAGTTTGTTCTGTGATTTTTATGGTTTGTGTCTGAATCCATTCCATGGCTTATGTTTGCTCTGAAGTACCGTGTGTCGGATGCATATATTCCGATACTCCTAGCCGAATTGGCGAGCTCGAGTAACATAGATTGTGACCGAGTAGGCTTAGGTTTTAAAGATTATGGAGCAATGTAATCCATCATGATTTTCCTGTTGTTGGCGGTGGTTATCAATGTTTGTTTAGTTTCAAGCCTTTTGGATAGCTGAACTTCGGTAATTCTTCGTTCCTTGAAGTATCCGCGACGGATACTAGGCATCTCATCCACCATGGATACAGGGGTATTGAATATACTTGTGTTGAAGTAGTATTCGTTACGCTCGAATCTGAGCATTGGTAACATGGTTACATGGAATGGGATTTTAGCTAACATGTGTTATGGAGGCAATGAAGATACGCGGTGAGTTTGGCTCGTCTGAAAACTGTTTTTGTGATGCAGGTCTTGTGCTCCAAAGAGCAAGGGAAAGGTCGGAAAGGTTCCCAAAGGATTCACAAGGCCGAGAGGGAGAAGCTCAAGCGTGAGCATTTGAACGACCTCTTCGTTGACCTCGCTAATGCTCTCGGTAAGTCGGTATTTTAGAAATGATTCTTGTAGATGATTGGCATAGGCTTCGGTTTGTAAAATCGGTTCTTGTTGGTGTTTGAAGCTTATGGTATATCTAACTTTGGGTTGTTTTTTTTGCAGATCCGAATCAACCAAACAATGGGAAGGCCTCTATTCTGTGCGAAGCAACTCGACTATTAAAGGACTTATTCAGTCAAATAGAGTCCCTCCAAAAGGAAAACACCTCTTTGTTATCCGAATCTCACTATGTAAGACTCCTGATATTGACTTATAATTTTTCTGAATATCCTTGTATCCATGTTTTGAGAATATGTCTGAAATATTGACAGGTGAACATCGAGACGAGTGAACTGAAGGAGGAGAATTCCACCCTTGAAACTCAAATCCGGGAGCTGCAAAGTGAGATAGGGATGAAGGTGGCTCAATCGAAACCCGACCTGAACGAGCCTCATCCCGACTTCCAGCAAACCCAATTGCCTTCACACTTTCATGGAGACCATCCTGGTTTTCCTGCTGTCGATCCTGCTCTGCAACAACCACCGGCTATCCTTGTTGTTCCCCTTCATCCCGACATCCAGACTTATCCTATGCTCGATTCGGAAACACGACCTGCCACTAAACCGAACTCCGTTGTCAGCAAACCACATGCTCGATATCCGACCCCAGCAGATTCATGGCCTTCTAAACTTCTTGGGGAGCAACCAGCCATTAGGAATGAGTGACAGAACTTTGATGAGAGAAAACCCAAGCCAGGTTGTAAATTTCAGTGCAAAAATTCGAAACCTTTTGCTTTTAGTTTAAAACTAGGATGACAGCCCTTTGAAAAGCTTCTTCATTGCTTTTAATGGTCGAAATGAATGAATCAGTAGCATGCTATTCATTTGCATTGGATGAATTTTATTTAATTTTATAAACTATTAGTTTGGTCCGTTTTAATACCTAAGTTTTCATTTTTTTTTCAAAATTTTTGTATTCTTTCGTTAAAAACTTTAGTTTTTGTTTCATTTAGTACATTCTTTCAAAATTTAACATTAAATTTTGAAAAAAATTGAAAGTTTAGATACTAAAACGGGCTAAAACTAATATTTTAGATACTAAACCGTTAAGTTTTAAATAGTAGGTATGAAAATAAAATAAAAACTGAACGTTAGTTATAATTTTGAAAAAAATTGAAAGTCTAGATATTAAAACAGATTAAAATTGATAATTTAGATACTAAATTTGTGATTTATCCTAAATTGTAATCGGTAAAAGTGAACTTTATTCACGATCACTAAAGTTTGAATGAATTTTATTTTTAGTCACTGAACTTATCAATAAGTGATAAAATAGTCATCTGAATGGTTACATTAACAACGTGATTCGTCGACTCTTAAACTTTAGCTCTAAAAACATCAATTTGGTAAAATTTGACCCCTTTAACATTTGGTAAAAACGTCTAACTGCGGCTTTTTTTCCCTCAAGAAATTGAGTTACATTTTAAGTCAGGTGGAGGGTTAAAATATTTAGATATGGATCAGATCGATCAAAAATTTGGTCCATGCTCATTTCTACATGTATAAATTTAATGTCATGAATCAATTAAACACTAATTCAATTTATTAATATTATAATAATTATTATTATTATTATGAATAATCTATGACTGTTATAAGATAAAATTTGTTCAGAAATTTTATTAGGGGTCGTTTGAAAATCTTTATAAAAGTGTTTTTGGCCTAAAACTTCGTTGAAGCACAAAAAAATTCTGAAACAACTCGTTTACAGTGAAAAATTCACGTTTGAAACGTGATTATTGACTCAAACCATCAAACTGGAAAAACAGTGCTTTTGTATTAGAAAAACTCATTTGGAGAAACATTCCCAAACAAAGCCTTAGTCTATTAATAATACATATTTTACAAATACGACAACTCGAACTTAAATCCTCCAAGAATAACAACTTTCCTTCCTACGATTAACACCCAACGTGATTGATTAAAATACAAAAAGTTGATAAGTTTAAAATATAAGTATTTTTAATAATTTTAAATATATATATATATATATATATTCAAATAGGAAATCACTGTTTAAATACATGCATTTTATAAAAATCAATTTTTATTGAATTTGATAAAAACAATAAATGAAATATAAAAATCATTCTTAAAATAAACATTTCAATTAACCTAAAATAGTTGGGAAAACGTACGGCAGCCTTAATATACGGTTAAAAAAAGACGCTACTGTTGAGAATTTCCTAGTGTCGCCTCCAGACTCCCGTGTTTAAGTCTGGTATGGCCAAACCCATCCACCATGCCTGAGTGCTCATCAGGCAAAGGCATGTCAGGTGAGCATAATCAACTTTTTGTGATGCCAGTTTCAAATGATGATTTATTGATCTCGAGTTTCCTACTGTTATGTTTCTGATGCGTTGATCAATGATCATCATAAAAGAACATGATTTAGTAGTTAAATATAGTTTATTTATTAGATCGTTAGATATAGGAAGCCCGTAAAACACATCACATCTTGCAACACGCTCACGCACCGAGTTTAACGAACTTAGCTCTTTGGTTTTCAACATTGGAACCATTTTGCTTCTGTTTGATTCCTTTGTTATACCAGCACAACCATTTTTGTTTTTATTCCATGTGTGAGTAATCTATTTATGTTAGTTTATTCGATTCTATTTCTGTTCGAATCTTTCCGGATATGTTTGTTTTACTGCATCATGAATTGCTCGTCCAGCTCAGTTGGTAGAGCGCGAGGCTCTTAACCTTGTGGTCGTGGTCCTACCTCCCCATTATCCCATTACATATGGGAATAGGGTCAGCTAATTTTGTTTTACTGCATCATAACTTCCATTGGCTGATCAATACTCATCTCGTGCAGGGTTGGAAGGCAGGTAGTCAACATTCCTTCACTTATGGTGAGGGTAGATTCGCAGAAGCACATTGATTTCTCTCTCACGAGTCCGTTTGGTGGTGGATGCCCAGGAAGAGTGAAGAGAAGGAATCAGAGGGCCGCCGGCAGAGATGGAGACGAAGAAGATGAAGATTAAGTAACAGAGCTCTTGTTCCTTTTGCTGCTAGTCACGGTAGGGCAATCTCATCTAAAGCTAGTTTTCCATGATCTAGAGTCTTGTCTGTGTGTATTGAATTTTGTTTAATTTCCATTTTATTATATGGCTTTTTGAATCTGATTATCAGAATCCTTTTGTCAATAAGAACAGTTTGAGTCGATGGATTTTCGGTGACTGAAGACAACCGACTTTTTTTTTAAAATTTTGAGTTATTCGATTCGAATTATTCGAGTTAAATTCAAATTTTGACCCGAATACTGAGCTCTACCCACAGCTGCTGCCTGCTGGATTTAAAATCCGCGTTCAATGACAATTAAAAAATCACAAAACTTCGGCTGTAATCATCTAATCCACCGGCTTTGCTTCAATAAAACTCGTTCAGCTTCTTCAAAGATTCAGCACAAGAAACTCAACAATGGCTTCCGTTAACCCCTTCAATGGGTATGACAAAATAAGCCAAAGCCACCTCGAAGGTCAAAAGCCTCAACCGAAAGTCGCCCGAAGGCGTGCCTCAGCTGCCACCATCATCATCGTCTCTGCGATTCTCCTCCTCACTCTGGTCATCGCCTTAGTCATTACTGCTCTGATGCTGGAAAAACACATCAATGACAGAGACCCCACCGGCTCAGTTGAGTCAGTCAAGACCATCTGCAATGTTACTCGATACCCTGTGTCGTGTTTCACCACTCTATCTCCTCTCAACGCCTCCAAAAACCCCGACCCTGAAGCCTTCCTCGACCTCTCTCTCCGAGTCTCCATCACCCATCTCTCGGATCTCGCTTCTTCGTTCAAGTCCCTCAACGATCTCCACTCACATCCGGCTTTAAAAGACTGCTTGACCCTGTTCGATGACGCCTTAAGTCAACTCAATGACTCAGTTTCAGCAATGAAGGCTAAGCCGGGATTGACCAAGGGGAAGATGAGTGATATCCAAACTTGGATCAGTGCTGCAATGACTGATCAGGACACATGTAATGACGGGTTGGAAGAAATGGGATGGACGGCCGGTGATGAAGTCAAATCTCGAGCTCGACGCTTTAAAGAGTCTGTTAGTAATAGTTTGGCCATTGTTGCCAATATGCAGACTCTTGTACACAAATTTGGTCTCACCATGCACTGATATGCCTTATTGGTGTTCTTGTATACATTTTACAAGCGTATTAGTGCCGAATAAAAAGAAATTTTGCATCGGATTAATTCAATTAACGGTGTCAATTGAATATTAGTTCAACTGGTACCGTTGCTGTTAACAATTTTTGGAAGTCGACTGAGTATTAACTCGAACCCCGACAAAAATAAAACGAATCAATTTCAAAGCCCGACTCAACTTTTGTTTTCATTTTCTTCAACTGTAAATAAGAGAAAGAAGGTTTAGAGATTGTGTCTCCAAAATGGCTTCTAAAAACAGGACATAACAGTAGACAGCAAGACAAACTTTTTGAGCGAATAAACATGTCGACAGCAGCAGATAACAAACCTGTTAAAATGTTCAATGGGCAGAGTGAGTTGTGGTGGCTGTCTTCTTAAAATCGATCTTGTCGACTTTAACCTCTCCGTCGATGAGTTCATAGACATAGACCACGACACGTAGCCCGTCGATATCCATCAGGACAAAGCTTGGGTTGACATCATAAGTGATACTGCTATATGCGCCGGTAGCAGATCCCGGGTTTATAACAACCCCACCTTCGTGTTTGTATGCGGTAAACTGGTGGGTGTGACCCGTCACGAGTATGTCTACATCCAGCTGTCTCTGTAGCATGGCTAAGGAGTCTAGGTCACCCCAGGGAATAACCTAGATGCATCAAGCAGCATTAAGAGTGATTAGTATTGTCTGAAATGTGCATATCAACATAGATTCGGAGATATAGCCCTTCATGAATCCTTCAAATACATGGGAAAACTAGAAAAAAGAATCAGCATATTCGTGCAGGACACATTCCCGTATCCGAACTTCACTCTTGAGACAGAATAACATAGGTCATCATCATTAGCATAAATTCACATATTTTTCACAACAGCAGGAGATGAATGCTTCATTATAAAATTTATATAATCCACAACTATGGGAACCTAATTACCGATTTAAAGTGCACAGTTACACACCATCACAAAGAAGAGAAAACGATTCAAAGTACAGGAGTTACCTGATGACCATGGCACAATCCCAACTTGAATTGTCCGATAGTTAGCGTCTTGGTCTCGGGATATCTTGTTTCTTCATCGTATTCACCTATGGTAATGTGCAAGTCAGGGCAGAGAGTCTTCAAGTAATCTTGAACCTCCTGAAATTTCAGCCCGAAATCGCTTAGCCAGTGGTAATTACAATAAGATAATAAGAGAAAGACAGCTTCAACGTAAGTCATTAACTTTCTACTACTCTGCCAATGGAGAGCAAAACATGATAACCACTTAATGCTATGTTACACAGATTCTTTGTCTTCTCAAAAGTAACACACCTGCCCTATACATATTCGGAGGTATGAGTTACTGTCCTCCAAATATATGGAAAAACTTAAAATCGAACATACTCGAGATGGCCTAAATGCATTTGAAACCAAACATGATAGGAGAAAGGGAACGCCATTCTTTGCATGTGATGAAATGAAGGTAACAAATGACAAACAGCAGCAAGAATATTTCGATGAAAATTACAACGATCGAATGAAACAATTATCGATGATCGGTTACCGACAGTGTCACAGTAGAACATGATACCCTCTGCTGGTGTTCCCAAATTCAAACTATAAACATGAACGAATAAATGGAGAATAATCTTGTAACATCCTCCATGCCAGGTTAGTGATTAATTTGTAAAGTTTCAGCATTTGGTGATTTAAAGTAGAATGATGGAAAAGTTCAATGACTTATTTGAGTTATTTTGTGTAGGATTGAATTATAAAGAAGAAAGATTAAAAGGACAAAATGGTCTTTTTTATAGCAATATAATTGTTTGGGGTTAGTATTATATTAACCACGTGGAAGTATAGGAAATTAAAAACAAGCTTACAGAGTTCTCTTCTTCTTTCTTCTTCTTTCTTCTTCTTCATACGTGAGACCCAAACTAAGATATTGAGCTTAATCGAGTTCCGGAACCATCGACAAGTAGGATCAATCGAGGGAAAGACAAAGAAATCTAGGTGAGTGCATATGCATAGCATGAATATGTATTTTATTCAGTTCTAGACTTGTGATAAGTCTAGATTCAATATTTTGATACATGATCGTAGTTCATATGATGATATATGACATGAATCCATACCGTATGCATTATGGGACATGAATATGAAAGAAAAAGTTATATGAGTTATATGATAAAGGTATGGAAATAATATGTCTACGTGATATAAATTAGATAAATTGTAAAAGCCCATGTTATGTAAATGAGAACTATAGGTATAGTTGGCATGCCAAGGGTAGAGGGTCTATGTGGTCCTTCGGGACATATATGTATTCTTTGGAACATGTGTGAGGTCTGGTGAGACACATATTTGATCCTTGGTATATATATATGATTCTTAAGGAATGATATGTGGTCCTTCGGGACATATATGTATTCTTTGGAACATGTGTGAGGTCTGGTGAGACACATACTTGATCCTTGGTATATGTATATGATTCTTAAGGAATGATATGTGGTCCTTTGAGACATATATGTATTCTTTGGAACATGTGTGAGGTCTGGTGAGACACATACTTGATCCTTGGCATATGTATATAATTCTTAAGGAATGATATGTGGTCCTTATGGACATTATTATATGGCACTACGGTGCAATTCTACGCGACACTCCGGTGCAATTCTACGTGGCACTTAGGTGAGTGCATATGCATAGCATGAATATGTATTTTATTCAGTTCTAGACTTGTGATAAGTCTAGATTCAATATTTTGATACATGATCGTAGTTCATATGATGATATATGACATGAATCCATACCGTATGCATTATGGGACATGAATATGAAAGAAAAAGTTATATGAGTTATATGATAAAGGTATGGAAATAATATGTCTACGTGATATAAATTAGATAAATTGTAAAAGCCCATGTTATGTAAATGAGAACTATAGGTATAGTTGGCATGCCAAGGGTAGAGGGTCTATGTGGTCCTTCGGGACATATATGTATTCTTTGGAACATGTGTGAGGTCTGGTGAGACACATATTTGATCCTTGGTATATATATATGATTCTTAAGGAATGATATGTGGTCCTTCGGGACATATATGTATTCTCTGGAACATGTGTGAGGTCTGGTGAGACACATACTTGATCCTTGGTATATGTATATGATTCTTAAGGAATGATATGTGGTCCTTTGGGACATATATGTATTCTTTGGAACATGTGTGAGGTCTGGTGAGACACATACTTGATCCTTGGCATATGTATATAATTTTTAAGGAATGATATGTGGTCCTTATGGACATTATTATATGGCACTACGGTGCAATTCTACGCGACACTCCGGTGCAATTCTACGTGGCACTTAGGTGCAATTATATGAGCTGTGGTGACAACATAATGCACAACCTCACAATACTCACATACCTTAGCTTCTCTGTATGGTACCATGGGCTAATGAACTTACTAAGACGAACTTATGAATGTGAATTTGATAAGTATATGTGTAAGAAACATGGTTTTGATTATTGCATTGTTTACATACATCTTATTATTGCAACTCATCTCATTTTGACAATTACTTTATATTTATTGATATTATTATTATATTGTCTCACTAAGTCGATGACTTAGCGTGTGAGTGTTTCACACGTAGGATCCGATAAAGTAGACGATCGAGGTTAAACAGCTGGACAACATTACTCTTGCAACTATCAGATCAGAAGCAACTTAATCAATAGGCCATTTTGTTATGAAAATGGATGTTGGCATGTAATTAAAGAGTTAAGTTGTATATGCTCTGAATATTTTGGTAAACTTATATTATCATATGTATATTATTGTATTTTTCGTAAGTTCAAATATTTTACTATTATTTGTAATGAATTATGTTTTAAAAGTCAATGTAATATCTACTTACTCGTATCTGAGTTCGGATACGGGTTGGGGTGTTACAAATCTTGTGTATGTTATCTGTACTGCTGTAATGCATGAAGTAGCAAACAATACACATTCACCAACTTGCGGCTCAAACTTCTCAAAAGTGCCAGATTGAATTAGGCATAAGATTTAACTAAAAGATTTCAGCTACAACACAACCCAAATTAGACTCAGCTGAGAAACATCAAACCCAGATTTAACTAAGATTTCAGCTACAAAACAACCGAACAGAAAAGGGAAAGAAAAATGGGATACCTTGATGCAAAGATTGCCAGTGCAAATGATGTGTTGGATCTTGCCGGGAACCAGCATGGACTTGAATTTCGGGGGGAGATCAGCCGCCCGATGAGGTATATGTAGATCCCCCAAAGCCAAAACCAGGACCATCTTCTCTTCTTCTTCTTCTTCTAATATCTACCAATAACTGCACGATTAATTCAGAGAAATTTGAAATGAAAAGGAACCCAACAATGGAAACATTAAAAGGAAAAAATATGGAATTTTGGATTTACTAGTGAAGGATTTGGGTTGGAATTTTGGGAGTAAACCCAGAAGTACACAAAAAAGGAGAAAAATATAAACAAGTCTCTTTAATTTGATTCTTTTTGTTCTTCTTTCCCTCTCGTACTAATTCACGATTTTGTTCAGTATGATCGGCCCGGTCCAGTAGTTTCACCATTATTTCTTTTTCTTTTTTGCACTAATTTATGTTAGTGGTAAAAAAATCTTTTTTACTCCTAAAGGTCATGAGTTAAAGCACTAATGACTTAATAGTATAATTGAACGTTTATTGTGATACGGTTAAGAGTATTTAAAATATATATTATTTTATAATCATTTTAGCTTAATCAATATATATATACACTCAATTCGCTATCATTTTATTTGGGTAAATTACACTTTTAGTATATAAATTATTAGTTTTAATTCATTTTAGCATTTAAACTTTTAATTTTTTCAAAATCATACTTAAAGTTTAGTTTTTATTTCATTTTAGTATATGATGTTAAAAACTTTAATTTTTGTTTCATTTTAGTATCTCGTTCAAAATTTAACGTTAAATTTTGAAAAGATTGAAAGTTCAAGTACTAAAACAAACCAAAATTGATAGTTTAAGTACTAAACGCTTTAAGTTTTTAATGGAGGTATACTATAATAAAATGAAAACTAAATGTTAGGTATGATTTAGAAAGTTAAAAGTTTAGGTACTAAATGGACTAAAACTTATAGTTTATGTACTAAATGTGTAATATACCCTTTCTATTTTTTTTTGAAAATTTTAGTAAATGTGTTAAGAGTGAAACTCGTATTTGATATGCTTGATCCTACAAATGCTTATAAACACTCATTGGATTTGGATTTGGATTATTTAGCTAGCAAGTAACAAAGCCTTAAAATGAAATTAAAAAACATAAATTATAAAAGAAAATGCAAAGGGAATAACAAAAAAACAACACCAACAATGATATAAATTAAGCAAACTCTAGTACAGATTGCAACACTTTCTCCGTGGAAAAGCATATATATATATATATATATATAGGGATGATAATTTAATCTGAAGCATACGTATTCTGATTAAATCTGATATGATAGGGTCAAAATTTAAAAAAAAATCAAATTCGATTCGGATCAAGTCAAATCCTGGTGGAGGGTGAAAATATTCTGACCCGACTCAGAGATAATAATGTAATTTTATTAAAAAATAATATTTTTATTAAGTCCTTATTTTATACTGAATCAGATTTATACTCTAAAAAATCAGACCGGAGTAGGGTAGAGGATAGATATTTTTTGTGTAATATCCCAAAATCAGGGCTAGTGGCTAAAGTGAGATTTTTGAAAATTTTGTGCTCAATTTAGAAACCAGTTAAAAGTTTAGGGACTTAAGTAAGAAAATTTTAAGGATGGATTAAATAGCATAAATGGATGAATTAAAGGGGTATTTTGGTCTTTTATGCTTAAAGGATATTTTTTTCCCTTTAAATAAGGGTTAAACACGTGGGTTTGGGAGAATTCTGGAAGCCTTCTTCTTACTCTCTTCTTCTCCTTCCCGTATCTCAAGTTTAAAAGGTAAGTTTGATTTTAGTGTTGAATTCTTGGATTTATAAGTGGATTTTGATTATTTGAGTGTTATATAAGATTAAAGAAAGCTTATATGAACTTAAATCATCAAGTAAAGAGAATAAGAAGAGAAATTCTATTATGGGTTTAGAAATGAACTTTTGAAAGAGGTTTTTAAAGTTGTAATGAAGAATTTGACTTGTCAGTAGTTTATTTAAGAGATATGAAATGTTAAAATTGGATTTAGAACATGATGAAATTTGAGTATGATTCTTGAAGCCTATGTATAGGATATGATTTGGAGATTTAAGATGTGATAATGAGTACAAATGAGCTTAAATATGTGTGTTTGAGTTTAGGATATGAAAGGGGTTGAAGTATGGCATAATTGAGTTAGAATGAAGTGATTTTTGTGCTAAAATGTAATTTCTGGGCTGTGTGCATCGATACACATTCAATGGGTACCGATGCACTCTCAACGAAATAAACATCGAATGCAAGGAGTGCATCGATGCATAGGGAGTGCATCGATACACCCATTAAAATGGAAACATATGTAAATTGTGTACCGATGCATGGGTAGTGCATCGATGCACCTGTTAAGGGATGCATCGATACACTGTAGAATGTACCGATGCACTTCAATGGGAAATGGAATAAATCTTTCTTTCAGTCTAAGAATTGATAGATTATAGTATATCAATTGGATACTGATAAGTATTAATACATGATTGTGTAGACATCGATCGAAAACAAAGTTCGGATAGTTCGTCAGAGTAAGATACACAAGAAAGAGAAAGAGCTTGGTAGTGTTATTGGTGCTCAGGTGAGTACATGATATGAAGTGTAGTTATGTTAAGGAATTATGACTTGCGAGAAGTCTAATTCTGATATTAGGTAATATGAGTACCCAGATATAAGCAGGTAGTGATATGATGTTCAGAGAAATTCGAGTCTATGCATATGTTTAAATGTAATTGCTTCTCTATGTTTGTGATCTAGGTGAATATGCCTTGTTGCATTACATGTTATGAGATATGTGTTGTATGATAATGATCTATGAGATATTGATAATAAGTCATAAGATTACATGCATATGTAATATAAGTTAAAAGATAAGAAATAATATGTTATATGCATATGAGAAAAAGGTTTATGTAAACTATATGAAATGGGATAAAGAACTATATGACGTGACCATGTGTGAAAAGGATGAATAATATGAATTTCATGGAAAAATGCTACGTGAAAGTAAACTACGTGACTATGTGATCATATGAAATGTGATAAAGAGCTATGTGAAAGAACTATGTGATATGAATATGTGAATGTGTAATGAGGTAAAAGATAATGCCCATGTCATGTGTTATGAGAGCTATAGGTATAGTTGGCATGCCAAGATTCGAGGGTCTACGCGGTCCTTCGGGACATAGTGGTCCTTCGGGACATATGTGTTATATGTGGTCCTTCGGGACATCTAAGTGGTTCTTCAGGACAAATTCTACGCACCCCTAGTGGGAATTATACGAGCTGTGGTGATAGCATAGTGCATAACCTCTATGTACTCACATACCTTAAGTTCTCAGTAGTGTGCATGGGCTAACCAAAAAGATAACAATAAAATGTGAGTTGTAATGATAAATGTGTTACATTTAATGGTACCAGAGCTAAGGTTTAGCCGATTCTAGGCTTAAACCGAAGTCAAATAAGGTTTAAAAATGTGTACATGTCAACTCAAAGTGAAAATTTATGATCTGATAGAGTAAGGAGTATGTTGTCTTGCTAATAGAATAAGATTTGTATGATATAGTAGAAATTGTCGAAGTGAATCGATAGCCAACAAATCTGATGGTGATAGCAATTCACCTGCCCTGGCCAGGCAGGATGAAGAGCGGAAACCTCAGAAAGTGTCTTATAAGATTAAAGGTTGATTTCAGAAAGTTGAAATCATATCTGAATAATGATAGAAAGTTTTCATTGTTTTGAATCGGAAATGTGATATGGAGTCGTTTTGTTATTTAGTGGATAATATAGAATATGGTGAACAAGTGTCACCATAAGACCGTTAAAAGATCAAATGATGCAGTGAGAATTAGTAGAAGAGTTCAAGAATAAGTGTATTAGTGACAAGCGTATAAGATGTATAAAGCCAAAGATTATGAATTTGAAACAGGGGAATCATAACGTGTATGAATAAGAGTGTATATGATTAGAAGAAATGTTTATGACTGATAAGGGTAAGTGATGATGAATGTATTAGAGTTAAAGGATTAAAGATGATGTCGTAGAATTTGTAAATGGTTATGTATTGTGATTCGAACAAGAATTTTACAAAGAATAAGATTTGTGCAAAGAGTGTTGACTATCAGAGTTATGAAAATGTTATAAAGATCGATGATCAAGGATTAGTATGAGGGAAATAAAAAGAATATGTGAATACGGATAGAAGATACATGTTAATTTCTCCTTACCGAAGGTCAGATCAGAACCTAAATAAATAACATGTATTTTGTTATATAGAATCTAGTTGGCATGTAGTTAAAAGATTTGTATTAGATACGCTCTGATCAGTTTTGTAAAACCATATGTTTTATATCATAGAAAGTAAATGGTTTTATTAGAAATATCAAACTGAATCTTGGGTATTTTGTAAAAATAAATGTTTTGAGAAGTCAATGTGATAACTCAAACTAGTATCCGGGTTGGGAGTGTTACATTTTGGGTCAGGTGGAATCATATAGAGGATATATAATTTATGGGTCAAATCGAATTCGAGTCTAGGATACGTATTTTTCAGATCGGGTCAACGAAAAACCTAACTCAACCTAACCCGTTGCCCTAGGTATATTAGCTACTTCTGTCGCTAATAATAATTTTCTTCACTAATACGTTATAATTTTAATATCTCCACTTTAATTTATTCAATTCTAGTTTATGTAATTTTCAAATCATGACAAAGATAACATGATTAAATTACATAGTTTTAAGATAAATTATATAGCATGAACTAAACCTAAAATTTAACTACAACATAAAGACAAATAATAGGATTTGACTTAATAAAAGACTTAAAAGTTAATGTTTCTATTTAAATGAAGACTGAAACTTCAAAATCTAAAAAGTTCATGGACAAGTAGAAGAAATTAACCAAAATCTAAAAACTTAATTATTCCTTCATTTCTATACAAAGAAAAACAGATAAATGCTTGGTAAATTGTCTAAATACATTTAGAATAACCTTAATAAATAAGGATAGGGTCCTTATAACTAAACGAAATTGGCATAATGTATAAATATTCGAGACCGAAGGATTAAGAACTAACCGAATCATTTCTGTCCTGCCCAAGTAGACTTGATTGGTTTACCGCAAGTGTCGAAAACAATGCCAATAACAGTTAGCTTAGTTAGCAAGAAACACATAACTATTGATGTTCTAGGACAAACTCTAATACGCATCTAAGTAGCCAATAACTATGAATAGAAACAATACAACACCAGTAGAAAGGCAAGCATAGAACAAACAAACGACAAGAAACTTTTATAACAATGATGATGGTTTTTTGGCCATGTCGAAAGTTCAAAACTATTGATTTACACTCGCAAACACCGAGAAATACCGATTTTTTCATTGGCACCTGACCTATGCACACCTCTTATTGACCCAGTTTCAGTTTCATAGCATGTACTGATAATTTTATACACCACAAATCATATGAATTTTGGACCTATTAGAGCTGATTCCTCAAATCTCAACGAGATCATCTCCTCCACTCTACTTGAGTCGCCTTTGCTGCAAGATCGAACAAAAACGAACAAGTGGATTTATTAGCATGGGGAGATGGAAACCATTTTCGGTAAAAGAAATGGCTAGAATTCTTTAGCTATTTATGTTATAGAAGCTATAGAGACACCGTTTATATCCAGGCTTATTCGTTTTGCATGGACGAGGCTGAAGGAAAGGATTAACCGTTAACCAACCGGCATTGCTGAGATATGTCTACTAATTAAATGAACATATAGACTTTAGGGAAGTTGTATGATGAACGTGTCAAACTTGAGACAAGCTACAAGAAAAAAAAAACAGAAAAGATCTAACCAATAATCAGCGTTTCATACCATTTCTGTCTCTGGATGACAAAGGTCTGTCGCTTTTGCTCCCTTCTTTCCCCGCATGAACCAGCCTTTGTCCCCTTGGTGACTGTGAGCTGCTTTTACCGTTATCTGAAAATGGCAAAGACTGGTGACGGGTGAGATTATTTTTGTCACCACCATCCTGACCAGATCGGGGAGAATCTTGCAGTCTCAGCTTAGCCTTGGCAGATTCAGTTGCTGCCATGTAGCTTGGCACTGGAGGACTGATTTGTGGCCCATTTTCTGTATGATCTCGGTTTGCAGGATTAAAAGCTTTCCTGCTGGACTTCTGATTCTCATTATTCATCGAGTTTTCCTTCCTTTTCAGCTCCACATTTCCCATGAAAGTTTTATTACCCTTAACAGTTTTACCTATTGAAGGCTTTGAATCAACAATAGCAGGATCCGCATGAAATATATCCGATGTCTCATTCATCACCAATGGCCACGACATAGTTTCAATGTCAACTGATTTTGAAACTGTCACAGTTGTCTCTTTTTTCATCTTCTCAGCTGAGCCATTCACTTCCACAGCTCTCTCTTTCTTCACCTTCTCAGCTGAGCCATTCACTTTCACAGCAATCTCTTTCTTCACCTTCTCTGCTGAGCTATTTACAGTCGATGTCGTCTCTTTCATCTTCTCAGCTGAGCCATTCACTTTCACAACTCTCTCTTTCTTCACCTTCTCAGCTGAGCCATTCACTTTCACAGCAATCTCTTTCTTCACCTTCTCAGCTGAGCCATTCACTTTCACAGCAATCTCTTTCTTCACCTTCTCTGCTGAGCTATTTACTGTCAATGCCGTCTCTTTCATCTTCTCAGCTGAGCCATTCACTTTCACGGCAATCTCTTTCTTCACCTTCTCTGCTGAGTTATTTACTGTCAATGCCGTCTCCTTCATCTTCTCAGCTGAGCCATTCACTTTCACGGCAATCTCTTTCTTCACCTTCTCTGCTAAGCTATTTACTGTCAATGACATCTCTTTCATCTTCTCAGCTGAGTTATTTATTGTATCTGTCTCTTGTCTCATCTTCTCTGTTGAGCTGTTTACTGTCATGGCCATCTCTTTCTTCATCTTCTCAGGTGCTTTATTTATTGTCAAGGCTGCCACTTTCTTCACCTTCTCAACTGAGCTATTTACTGTCAAGGCCGTCTCTTTCTTCACCTTCTCAACTGAGCTATTTACTGTCAAGGCCGTCTCTTTCTTCATCTTCTCAGCTGAGCTATTTACTGGCGTGGCCGTCTCTTTTTTCATATTTTCAGCCGAATTATTTATTTTCAAGGCCATCTCTTTGTTCATCTTCTCAGCTGAGCTATTTCTTGAAGTTGTCTCTCTCATCTCCTCAGTTGAGCTAGTTACTGTCACGGACATATCATTCTTCATCTTCTCAGATGGACTATTCACCGTCAAGGCCATCTCTTTGTCTGTCTTCTCAGCCAAACTATTCACCGTCAAGGCCATCTCTTTGTTTGTCTTCTCAGCCAAACCATTGAGGCTCTGTTCCACAATATGCATGTTAGTAGTGCTTGAGACCTTCTCTGAACTTGGCTTTGGCACCGTCAAGGCCATCTCTTTGTTTGTCTTCTCAGCCAAACTATTGAGGCTGTGTTCCACAATATCTATGTTAGTAGTGCTTGAGACCTTCTCTGAACTTGGCTTTGGCTTTTCAAATTCAACCTCTGGCTGCACTGAATTTTCTACTACAGGATTATGAACCTTTCTCAGGTCGCGTTTAACCTTTTCAAACTCATTTTGTGGGTTTTCCTGCACTGACGACTCAGTGGGATTGCTGGAAACTTTCCTCAGGTTACGCTTGGGCTTGTCAAATTCAGAGGTTGCTTGAACAGAGGTACCAACCAGATTTGCAGAACGAATCCTGCGAACACTCAGTTTTGGTCGACCTGTATCAATGTCAACATGACCATTAGTCTGTTTCCTCTGCAACTTAGAGCTGGAGGCTTTTCTCGGTTGAGGAACTGGTTTCCAGAAGCAGGATGCTGACCAGCGCTCTAACCAGTTCCAGACTGAATTAGGTTCCCCAGCATCAACATGAAGGAGCAGAGGCATTATAGGAAGTGATAAAGCAACAATCTAAAGAAGAAAAACCCAATGGTCACTTGGCTAATGTGAAAGAGAAAAGAAAGTACAAGGAAAGGGGCAAATTAAAAAACATTCCAATTTAAGAAATCATGTCTACTGATAGAGGATAGCTAACAATATGCCTCTTAGCACCTAATATTTTCAGGTTTGATTATAAGCAATATTTTTGTGCCACTGATTTAGATTTTCTTGAAGATATGAGAAATATCTATGCATAATCAAGTGATATATAATTATCAATCAGGTTCCAAACATCTGCGTTTGGTTGCCAGGAAACGTTAGATGATACTTTTGAGGCTACCTAATATTAATGAAATGGGAGAGTATGTATTAGCAAGAAAAGTTACCATAATCTTCATTGAACAAGAATAAAATAATAGCTTTCATCTATTTTTGCTGATCAATTTGATTCAAGAAGCAGTATTAATATTTGAAAACCTGGGAAATGAAAATGATTGCCTGAATAAATCATGTGCAATTACTTCTTGCACAGTACCATGATATGATGGATAAGCCAATCTTAAGGTCGGGCCAAAAAGAAAAGCATATAGATAAGGGTAAAGCCGCCAATGCATGGAGTCATCTCCAGAAATGTGGCACAATATTAAGTAAACTCTATATATTTTCTATTTCATAAATAAGAAATGAAAGAACAATACCAGCCATACCTTACGAACAAAAGCATTTGCTGACAACTTTCCAATGCGTGCAGACATATTCACTCCAAGAGAAACCACAGGATTGCTCTCCTGCCAAACGATGAAATAAGAATTAACAAAGCAAAAATGGCCAGCTTCTATTTCTTGAATAAATACAAAATTTGGTGCAGGGAGATAAGGATGAGGACAAAAGCAAAAGAACATGTTCTGTACTTAAAAAATTCATATATGCTACTAAATCCTGCAGGTTGTGATTACTGGGAGAAAAAGATTACAAGCAATGACAAGAGTTGACTTCAAAAATATTTTCACCACTCAAATTATAAATGACTACCCATCATACCCGAAGTACGCGGTTTTAAGTTCTGCTCAAACCTCAGGCCAAAAATCTCTTTTAACCATTCTCACTAAATATGGCTCATGATGGTCTAATCAATTAATTTACATATGGACCATCAAAGGATACCAAATTTAATATATAAAAAGTCAAGTTGAAAAGTAGCAGGTTCTCATTAAATTTGAATGAAAGGGATGGTGATAGTATGATAAATTTCAATATTAGCAACCAGGATGAGAGCATATAGTTAAAAAATTTCCCAGATGAATCATGAATAGTATTTGGTCCATGATAAAATTCCCAAAAATATTACCTGAAGGCTCATTTGATTGAGTTTCTTCTGCACTTCAAGGCCACCATCAGAATGCCTGGCCATTACTCCACGAACATGAGCTTGTAGCTTGACAATTCCCATCATACAGCACAAAGTAGTAATAGCTTGCCTTCTAACCAAGTGACCACGAAAAAGTGCCTGCAGCCTTATAATGCCTTTGAGGGCCCCGAACGCTCGGCGTGCCTTCACATAATTAACTGATATTAGTAGAAGGATAATCTCAAGTAAAGGTTCTTACTAAACTATTTCAAAATTGATAGTAAAATTGCACAGGAAAAAAAGAGAAAATACCAGGTAACCCCTAAAAGCAGCCTGAACAATGGTTGCTGCTTGTTCTTCCTTAACCCTTTCTGGATCATATTGTGAATCTTGGAGAGTGGAACTTGGAGAATTTATGCCTTGAATCACTAACAGTGATATCCCGTCATCATTAGAGATATTTGCAGCCTCATTGCGTTCCACTTCTAATTCCCTTTCATCCCTCTCATTAGCATATGGATGCTGTGAAGAAAAGGAAGGAGCCACGGAAACATCAGTTTCTGATGCCCTTACCGCAACCAATACCTCCTTTGCATTGGCAGCAGTGGCATTCTGCAAATAACAGTTCAATTGAAAAACAGAGCATGCATTAATATTTTAGGATTGAGGGAAGAAAGATGCCAAATCATGTTTATCTCATGATTGATGATTCCAGGAAAGAAATGATATATTCCCAAGATAAATGCATCAAAACAGCCATGTTTTTTTTTTATAATAAGGAAGGCCTCATCAAAACAGCCATGTTAAATACAACTGCTCCCTAAGAAATTTCCAGGCAGCTAATGCTTCAATCAGTTAATCTTTACATTTAGTTAATTTTCTCGTGAATGGAAGTAAGCCATAAAAAATAAACCAAATGAAAAAGGGACCATCCATAAACTGAAAATTATTCAGATATATGCTATAGAGAGAACCAAAACAATTGATAAACTATGACATAATAAATTGGTAAGTGGAAACACAGAGCTTGCATTATTGGTTGTCACAGTTTAAGAAGCAGCTCTTGCCTCTCAGTCTAAGATAGAACCACAAGCCACAAGTTATTGACATGAAACCAGTAGTTGAAAGAGATATAAATCAATTTATTTAATACAGTGGGTAATATCAATAACAACATCAATAAATGAAATCCTGAGTAGATCTGTCAAGCTTTTTTGATATAAAATACATTCTCTTGATAGCCAAATGATTTAAAGGAAACACTTTTTATATCATAGCATTCCAAAAAGTAATTTATTATTGCGTATAATCTTTGCAAAAGTAAATATGATATTATAGTATATTATTAGCGGTTTCTCATGCACATGATCTAAATATTTATGTGTTTTTAGTAATATTTAGTAAAAAAAAATATTACCTCTCTTCGTTTATGATAACTAGTTCTGGAAGATTTCTTTCCAAAAAACACCGTCTTAATCCATTTCCCTGGTGATTTTCCCATAACGCAAAGAGCACAAGAAATTGCAAATACCTGTAATGGACTTTCAACATCATTCTATTCTGTAACAGCTTAAGAATACATTAACTATAAATTCAAGAATCATTTAAAAATGTCAAACGAAAACAGAAGTCGCGCTTAACAAATTACAGTAAAATAAAACTTCTACAAACAATTATACACAAAAGGCAAAGCAAATTACTAGAATCAGCTAAGGATCCATTGATCTGACAATTTCAAAGCCAAATTATCAATAAAAAATGAAGAAATTAAAGTAATTAGCCGTTACAGTTACGATCTACTGATAGATGAAATCAAAAGTAAAGTGATATGGCGCCAAATGAAAATAAACCAAAGAAAGCATTTTACAACTAGATAATTTACACCAGATCTGGTACTTACCTCGCAAATTCAATGCTTTCGAAGTTCAAATCTACAGTTCCTGATTTTCAAAAACACCGAAACATCATTTTTTTTCCTTTTCTTTCTTCAAAGTCAAATAAAAAAACACAATAGAGAAAATGTAAATCAAATTTGACAATGATAAAGCTAGCGCATAACAGAAAGTAAGCTTATAAGCAAAACTAGAAGATTTTTCATTTGTTTTGGGTTCGCTTTTGTTTTGCACTGGTTTTGTATTGAGAGTGAGTGAAGTTCCAAAAATAACGATGGGTAATCTGGTACGTGCTGTTCCAGTGTAATGATTTTTCACTAGGTTGATTTGAGCCGTCGGATGGAGCCGACAGTGGAGATTTGATCGTTGGGATTAAAGGTAGATGATAGGAGTTGGCATTGGGGATGATTTTAAGATTTGGACTGCCTGTCCCACATTGCAGTTACTTCGGGAACGGACAAACTGGCAACAACTCAGTTTTAGAAAGGGGATGATATACAATTTGGTACCTGAATTTTATTATAATGTTCAATTTAGTACCTTACACTTTTTTCAATTTGACTTTGATGTTTGATTTGATATTTTGATAAATGGTCGAATGAATATTTAACATTTGTGATCTAAGTAAAAAAAATAAAATACTTAATTATGAAATAAAGGTTCTAAATTGAACGTTGAAACTAAACTTAGGTATTAGATTAATATTAGAAAAAAATCATGTACCAAATTAAACATTAAAATTAAAATTAAGTATCAAATGGTTCGAACCTAAACTCAAGGTCCGAACCTAGACTGTCTGAGAGAAAGAGTAATGAAATTTCATTACATCATATAGTTTTTGGTGTATATATTATAATATTAATTAAGATGGTTCTTGTGCGCTCGACGAGCGTCGATAAGCAATCACTAACGATGAGCATCACTAACAATGAATATCATTAATTTATTTTATAAAATTTAAAATTTTAAAGAATTCAACGAATAATTATAAATTAGTTGAAAATTTAAAGGTAAATTATTTAAATTTAAAGGGTAAATTATACCATTAATCACCTAACTATTGCCCATTTTCATTTTGATCATCATTTTTGAATTTTTGTCAATCAAGTCACTCAATTATTTAAATGCATTCAATTAAACCACTTTCCGTTGATATTCAAATTAAAAATATAATTTTTTTAGATCTCAAAATTTTAAAATCTTTACAAAAGAATTCAAATATATATTTTCAAGTCGAAATCTTCTAAATATCTAAATCTTGAAATTAGAATTCTTATATTTTAAATTCTCATATCCAAATTCCTAACTTAAAATGTTGTTGTATTTCATTTATATGGCCCACATCGATAGGATGATGAATTTGATGTAGATGTTAGTGAATGAGTTAAGTACCATAGGGGAATTAACGATAATTTACGAGCAATTGCAAACAAATTTACCAAATAATTGATTTTACGATAATTGATTAAATGTTGGAGGAAAATTTATTTTACGACAATTGCAAACAAGCAATTTTACAGCCAATTGAATTTAGGATGAGTTCATTTTAATTTATTAAAAGTATGACCAAATTCATAGGATATATAAGTAACAATGATCAAATGTATAATTATATCAAATATTTTAACTGTCACATCAGCTTCTCTATTAAATATTAATATCAAGTGGCTTCATTGAATGCATTTAAATATTTAAGTGATTTGATTGACAAAATTTAAAAATAGTGATCAAAATGAAAAAGGAAAATAGTTAGGTGGTCACTAGTATAATTTACCCTTTAATTTTAAATAATTTACATTTAAATTTTTAATTAATTTATAATTATACGTTGAGTGATTTAGAATTTTATATTTTATAAATTAAATTAACAGTCATCATTGTTAGTGGTGTTCATCGGTGTCGTCGAGCGACGTATAATTTTCCTATTAATTATTACATATTTTATAAAAGTTATCAGTTTATTTCACCTTGAGATTTATGCTCAAATTATATTTTTCGGCAAACTACATATTTAATATATAAACTATTAGTTTTGTCTATTTTAATACCTACACTTTTATTTTTTTCAAAATTATACTTAACGTTTAGTTTTTATTTCATTTTAGCGTCTCGCTGTTAAAAACGTAACACGTTTAATACCTAAACTATCAATTTTTATCCGTTTTAGTACTTAAACTTTTAATTTTTTTCCCAAAACTTAATGTTTTATTTTGAACGGTGGTACTAATGAAACAACAACTAAAGTATTTAATAGCAAAGTAGTAAAACAAAATAGAAACTAAAGTTTAGTTATGATTTTGAAAAAAATTGCAAGTTTAGATACTAATATGAATTAAAATTAATAGTTTAGATGATAAATACAAAATTTACCCAACATTTTTTGCCCTCCATATTGTTTCTATACGTGAAAGTTATTGTTAATTGATAGCGGCAGATACAAGGGTGAAAGGTAATGATGATATAAAATAATAATTTATAAAAAGATTGTAAATTTTTGTAACATTTATAATCAAACTTATGATATATCAATAAGAATTAAGAGTAGTGGCGGAGACACATATTAGTGAGGGTGGATATGTTTCCGGCATAAAATTTGAGTTTTTTCAATTATTTATTTATTTATTTTATCTATTATATTAATAGTGTTTACCCTAAAAAAATTTGTGTTCAACCTGAATTGAGTTTTTTTTTCCGATTAGTTATTTATTTTATGGACGGTGTTCATCTTGAAATTTTATTTGTACTCACTTCATTTAAAAAAATTTATGTTATTAACACATATGTGCCCACCCTAAAAAGTATTTCTTGATCCGCCACTGATTAAGAGTTATCATTTTAATTAATCTTAACATTAAATTTTATATTTTATATTGAAGAATTCTTTTTCTTTTATTTCTTTTATAGACAATATGTTATAAAATAATAAATAATTGATTTTTAAATATAATTATTGATATATAAGTTATTTATTAATTAATCAAGATTAAATCTTGTAAAAAGAATTATAATATGATTATCTCAATTTAAATTTTTTTATTCATATTGATCAATTTTATTATATAAAAATATATGATTTTTACTAATAAAATTACTCTTTAAAGGTTGTTGTATATTAACATCTCACCTAACTCAATGAATGTACTTGTTAATCATTGCATTTAATTGATATAAATACTTTCAATTACAAATATTATATAATTAACCTTAAAAACATCTCTAACTAAAATTCATCAAATGATTTTAATGGTAAAAATAATCATTATTATTTCTAAAAATTTTAAATTTAAACAATTATGTTTGTAGAGTGTATTCGTTCTAAAAAACCCTATAAGTATTAGTTTTGTTCTATTTTAATCATTCGTTACTAATTTTTAACAATTATGATGACGTGTCGCCATAAGATAATCTCACGTCATCTCACGTCATCAATTATATCACTTTATTAACGGTGAGTGACCAAAATGCAATCAAAATATAATGTTAAACATTATTTTGAAAAAAATAGTTGAATAATCAAGCCAAAACAAAAATGGTAACTTAAGTACTAGATATGTAATTTACCCTATATTATATATGGGGTAGATTATACCATTTATTTATTTTTATTTGATTATAAAATAATTGGCTCTTATCACCTACCGTCAAAGAAGATTTTGACGTACTACCCCATTTTTCCTTTTCCTGATAATGATATTAGATGTTTTTCCACCTATACCCTCACCGTCGGTAATTAATTACCAGTCTTAAAAGAGAAATACCAAGTTTAATTTGAATTTCCACACATTTTTATTGCCCTAAAAGCGTCATGTCTATCGTATATCAACCACCCTAAACGGGAATAGTTAGAGGTGTTCATAATTAGATTAAAATTAAATTAATTGATTAAACCAAAATTTTAATTGGTTAATTGGTTGGTCAATTTTAATTTTGATTGATTAACGGTTAATGATTTTCTCCAAACTTAGATTATCAGTTATTTCGTTTTGAAATTGATTAATTAATCGAATTAATTGAAATTATTAAATATTTAATATATTATACATATCACTGAGGGTGTTTAAACTTCAATTTTAATCGTATTAATCGAATAAATTTAAAATATTTAATATATAATATTTATAAATTTTGGTTAATTCGATCAATCGATCAATTAACTTAACTTAGTTTGATTCAGTTAAAAAAATTTAAAAATTAAGCTCAGTCAACAGCTAAAGGAAAGTTTTCCGGCTAATAGATTTTAGATAATTTGATTCGATTCGTTAATCGAATTAACCAATCGAACACCTCTTGTATTTTAATTTGGAACCAACTACTCTTTAGGGTGGGATCCCTCAACAAACATACATTTGTTAGCATTTAGTGCTCTCATTAAATTATCTTAAAATATATATTTTTGGTTGGTAAAGTTTTAAATATTATAAATAGTCATTAAATTTATCAAAACTATTATAACATAATTCATATATATATATATATATATTCTAAAATAGTAATATTTTTTATAAGTTTAAAGATCGCTTTACAATAGTTCAGTAAGAATGATGATTACTTTATAATAATTTAATATTTTTAATGATTATTTTGTAATTATTTAAAAAAGTTGATAATCATTTTATAATAATTTTAACTTTAACCATATTATTTAAACATAATTTGATAGTCTCTGGGTTTGTGATATAATTATAACTCTAAAAAAAACATATCCAGGGCCGTGGTTAGGTTGTCAGGGACCCTATGTAAATTCTTATAAAGGGGTCTCTATTTTTTAGATATATTCGATTTCGAGCCCCATATTTTTTTGTTTCTTAATGGCAACAACTGATATATATACTCGATTTCGGGGGCCCTATTTTTATACTTATTAATGACAACAACTTATAGATATACTCGATTTCAAGACTCCTATTTTTTTGGGCCCTACACGGTCGCCTACCCTGCACATCCTCAGCCACGCCCCTTATCATATCAGTCCTAAGGAATTTACTTTTAGACCTAGTAAAACTTGTTTTAATGTTAAGAGATCATCTTGAATTTAATTATTAAAGTCTACAATTAGACGATGATGATTATGATAATAATGATGATTATGCTAATATGCAATAAATGACTTATTTTCCTTGTACTAAAGGTACATCAATTTCTTTTATAACTACGGGTATTCGATTTGTTGATCGACTAATTCGGATCGGATACTACAGAGGCAAGGGCGACCATTCCATCCCAATTTGCTTTATTCACAACCACGAGGATTCAAATCATTGATCTTACTTAAGAGATATAGTATATCGTCCTATTAGACCAAATAATTATTGACAGAGGTCGATCAATCTTTAATAAAAAGAAAATAAAGGTCCATCAATCTCAATTTTGTATTTTCATATGACATCACAACCAGCATATTGAAAAGGGTTTCAAATGAAGAACTATAATGACTCAAAAGTTTGGTGAAAGGAAAAAAATATTAAATATTAGAAAATCTATAGTCTATGAAAGTTAAAATTACTCATTTTTTTAAAAAAACTACACATTTAGTACTTAAATTATTAATTTTGATCCGTTTTAGTACTTAAACTTTCATTTTTTTAAAAACATATATAACGTTTAGCTTTTGTTTTATTTTAGTATTCGTTGTTAAAAAACTTAATGGACAAGCTGACATGGCATAGCTCCGATAGACGGACGACCAATCCGAACGGTATGAGAGAATGACGAAGTTGACCATCATAATCCAGTTTCAGACACATCAGACGGTGGACCATGGAGATCGAAGAATGAAAATATCGAATAGTTCATCCTCAATTTGGGGAGATTAAGACATTTTCAATGAAATGGAGGTTGAAATCGAATTCAGGGAGTCGAAAAAGATGTGTGATGGAAAGTTTATCTTCATCGACTGATGGATGCGACAACCAACAACTATAGACGTGACGGTCGACTAGTTTGTCAGTTAATTTTTTAATGGAAGGGCACTAAAATAAAATAAAAACTAAATTTTAAGTATGATTTTGAAAAAAATACTAAAACAAATCAAAATTATCAATTTAAATACTAAATATTTTAAAAAATTAGCTGACCCTATTCCCATATGTAATGGGGTGAGGGAGAGGTAGAATAGTGGATGCCCCAACGCCAGGTTGAGAGCAATTTCCGTGAAAGACCCTAAATACTAAATACTAACTTTACCTTTTAAAAACTACAAACATCCTTACAAACATGGGCCAATAAGCTTGAAAAACCTCTTAGGCCGAACCCAACTCATTTACGCTATATACTTCCTTTACTGCTTTAGCCGCCATTTGAGGCTCCATCGTCCTCCTCCCACAAAACCCTAAATATTTAATTCAAAACCCTGCAGTCTGCTCAGTCTCCCTTCTCCATTGATTTGAGCCCCTTCGTCAAGCTAAACCTCGGGTCTATCTCTATATTCAAAAGATTATCGGTTTAAAGGTAGTGTTTTCCCATCCTTTCTAAGTAACGTTTTGATTGGTGGCTCTCGGTGTTTTCTTTTGTTCTTTCAGTGTTTGTTTTTAGGGATTGTTCATTTGTTTTCACGATGAGCTTGCTTGATATAATAACAAAGGCTTCAGCTAATACTGAGCCGCACAGTTCTCTAGCAGAACACCCCATAATGTTAAACGCAGATGATATTTTCCTCAAATTAAAGCCTGAAGCTGAAAACACCAATACCACATCGCTTGTTAGTCCCCTCACGGGTTGGGGGATATCTCAAACTGATGCTAAACTCATTGAATCGAGCAAAAAGTTTTATACCAAGTTAAGTAGAAAGTTCAAACACGTCCATAATTTCAATAGAGAAGAGTTCCTTGGTATATTGACTCCATTTCTTGAGAAATTTAGGGAAAAAGTTGGGGTTTTTATTGGGTTTGATTCAAATGATTCTGGGTACACTTCTTTTTTGCTTGAAAAAGTTGGGTCTTTGATTGGTAGAGATGTTTTGAGTTTGGTTGTGGAAGCTTGTATTAGTTTTGAAATTTGGGAATTGTTGGAGGTGTTGATTGTTAATGGCTTGATTGACCATTCGTGTTATTCGAATTTGATTTTTAATCTTGCTGCCAAGAAAAGGTCGGATTTGCTTTGCCTTTGTCTTAAACATGCTCGCAATTTGGGTTCGGTTGAGTTGCTTTGCATATTGAAATATTTTCTATGTCCACCTAAAGATGGCTATGCTAGTATGGTTAGTGTGAGGAAGGAATGGGAGAGTCAAGCTTTGCTGGCTATTGAAAAGGCCAGACTTGGGAAGAAATCACGGTTGGCCAAGGAGGCTGCGATTTTGCTTATGGTTGCCCATGATGGGTTTTCGGATGCTGAGCTTTGTTTGCATTATTTGTTAGCTTCAAACAATGTCGATGACGTGATATTGTCATCTTCACTCGGTAAGTTAGGCGGTAAAGAGTTGATGAATTTGATCATGTACCTTGGGAAATGGTTGAAAAAGTATGAGAGGTTTCCTCAAGCCATTCCATGCCCTAAGGCTTCCTCTGCTTTGGGCTTGAAGATCTGTGATTGGGTGCCCAAGCTTGAAGATGTTGCAAAATGTCTCGGGTTTTTCGTGGATGAGAACTTCTCTTCGTTGATGTTATATCCCGAGTTTCATGAAGAAGTCAAATCTATCGAGGGAGTGGTTAGTTCCCTAGCCTTTGAAGCAAGATTTTGTTGTTCAATGACAAATGTAATCGAGAAGTTAAGAGAGGGGGATATGCAGAGCTAGGAATTATGGTAACGTTGCATTGACACACTCTTTTCCCATCATTTATGATGCCTGTGTCTAATATATTTGTGTTAACTAGACTCGTTTTCGTTTTGGATTGAATCAAAGTTATCTTTAATCTTTTTTTCTGCTCATATTTAAATCTTTGAGAGCTTATGATTGCTTCGTTCCGCTTCTATGTTTTGGAGCCTATGATATTTTTATTTAATCATCTGTAAAATGTTTAATATTGACTACATAGGCATGCATACGCAGGTAATTGCTTCGGTTCCATGATTAGGTAATCGGCTATTTGTCTTTCGTTCTCATAAAATATGATGCGATATGATCTCAATACGGAGTACCTTTCAAAGTTCTTGATTCCGTTTCAATTCCTTGCAAGGAAGGCTAAGCATGAGTTTAAAGATACGTATATTGACGCCTATTGTATCATATTTAAGTAGTAGTTCGATGCTCTTTAAATAAGTTATCGATTTGAGTATTGTGATTGTAAAAAAATAGTGTTGAACTATATTTTGATATAACAATTTAAGGTAAAATGTTTTTGAACTTGAATTGAATTTATTCAAAGTTTTCAAAGTTTTCAAAAATAATTCAAAGTCCTTAAAAGTGGATTTGAGCAAAAAATGATTTTCTGGACAAGAAATATCGATAGTGTTCTTACAGTATCGATACCTCATGAACAATACCAATATTGTTCATATGGTATCGATACCAGAGGTAAGGGAAGTATTGATACTCATTAGGTAGTATTTATATTACCAATATTGCTCAAATTTCAGAATGCAAAAATAGTATCGATACCTAAAGGGTACCAATACTACTTTGTATAGTAGTATCGATACCATAGGCATAGTATCGATACCATAGGCATAGTATCGATACCATTAGGCCCCAACGGCTAGTTGATTTAAAAAATAACAAAGGTAATACCGATACTCCCTTTAAGAGTACTGATATCCTCTGTACTGGGTAGTTTTCTGCAAACATCTTCAAACAGCTCCAAATTATCCCAACGGCTATAAACGACCACAACTTTATTCCAACATATAAATATAAGTTGATGACACTTGAAGAAAAGTTAAAAAGTTAGAACACCTATTCAAGCAATCAAACACAAGAGAAGTGCTTTTCATTCCTATTTTACTTTCTCTTGTAAATATTTTGTTCTTGTGAATTAAATTTTGTAAACACTCTACCTTAGAGAGATTTTATTTGGTTTCTTCTTTTTACCTTTGTAAAGGGGTTTGGTTCTAGTTTAACCAAGTGAAAAACTAGAGAGTTGTAAAATTTACTCTTGATCCTTGAAAAATAAAGAACAAATTAGTGAATTTGTTAGAAAATCCTTAGTGAGGAGCTAAAGTAGTGGAGGTAGACTTAGTTAAGAAGTCGAACCACTATAAATCGCTGTGTAAAAGTTTCTATTTTTTCTTTTTCCTCACTCCCTAAACCATTTTTGCCAATTTACCCCTCTTGCAACTTTTTCGGTTGTTCAATTGAGCCTCTTTGATCCTAACAATTGATATCAGAGCTTGACTCTTTAGAAGGTTTAACCACCTTGAGATGATCATTGAAGAAGCTCTATCGATTCCTGACACAACTGACAAAGAGGTGACTTCAACCTCCGATGCCTATTACATTAAAGATTCACAATCGGTCAACAAACCACCCTACTTCAATAGAGCAAATTATGCCTATTTGAAGAATAGAATGATGCTCTTCATTCAAGAAAATGATTTAGGAGCTTGAAACTCTATCATGAAAGTATACATCATTCCAACCGGCGAGATGGACGATTGGAGTGATGGAAAGAAGAAGAAGTTTCAACTCAATGCTAATATTATGCACATCATCTTTTGTGTATTAGGCTTGGATGAATATGGAAGAGTCTCATCTTATTCCAATGCCAATGAGATATGGGATAAACTCCAAGTCACTCATGAAGGAACCGATGAAGTGAGGGAAACCAAGATAAGTCTTATCAACCATAGCTACGAGAATTTCAAGACGAAACTCGATGAAAACATCAAAGCTATGATGGATAGATTTTCCATGATTGTCAACGGTCTCAAGGGATTTAGAGAAGTAATCCCTAACGAGAAGCTTGTGAGGAAGATGATCTACTCTCTTCCAAAGTCTTGGCAATCAAAGAAGACATCGATTATCGAAGTTAAAAACCTTAAGTCTCTCACTCTCGACGAGTTTATTGGTTTTCTTCTCACTCATGAGTTGATGGTGAAGGAAGAGGAAGAAGATTAAGAGAAGCAAAACAAAAAAAATGAGGTAGACATTGTCGTCAAATCCACCAATGAGAGCAATCAAGATTCAAATGAAGAGGTGGATGAAGACGATGATGAAGAATAAGAGATGGCCAAGTTCTTCAAAAGATTCATGACTTCCAATGAAGTGAAACATGAATCGAGCAAGAAGAAGAGTCACCCGGTGTGCTTCAATTGTCAAAGAACGAGGCATGTCAAGTATGGATGTTCCATCCTAAAGAAGAAGAGATCAAGCAAGAAAAAGGCATTTGTGGTAGCTTGGAGTGATGAAGATGAAGTAGTCAACCTATGCCTCATGGTCATCGGAGAAGATTCAATGGTAACTTCTGACTCAAATGAATTTGATTCTTATTATTTTGATGAATTACAAGTTGCTTATAATGAGTTGTATTTGGAATTTTAGACCATGAATTTCAAATATAAGAAATTAATTTCAAAACTTAAAGTCGAAAATGATTTGGTTTTGAAAGCAAAAGTTGATTTTGAAAAACAAAATGAATTTTTGAAAAATGATTTAGATCTTTCAAAAGTCAAAATCAATGACTTAGAAAGCTTAACAAAAGAAAAATAATTAATTTCTAAAAACAACTCATTGTGTTTAAAAATGACAAAATATTCATATTGTCATTTTCATGATCATGTGGAACATACTTGTCATTTGAAGAAAGGAGAACATTTTAAAATTAGACAAGTATGGGTTCCTAAGGGAACAAGGGGCATTGAAACTAACGTTCAAGGATCCAAAGCAATTTGGATATCAAAATCTACTTAAATGAATATGATATCTCTTTAACAATTGATATCAAAATTTTCAAATGCATAACATTTTTTAAGGCTTTATGCATATGCACTTAATTTCAACATTTGGTATTGCATAAAGTATTTTAGACTTAGATATATTGAATTTCACGTGCTACTAACATATTTGTTATTCTATGTTGAAATTCAATTTTGTTTAAGTGTTAAGCTTTTAAAGTCAAATTTTTGTTTGTAATGCACTTTTTGATGGAGAGCTTTTAATTTTTCAAATGATTTTTTATGTCAAATTTCTCACTTACTCTCTAATGTTATTTTAGGATTTTAAAGTTGAATTATTTTTTATATAACAAAAAGGGGGAGAATTATGGTTTGGTTTCAAAAATTTATTTTCTTAATGAAAAAGGGAGAGCTAAACTTTTTCATATTTTTTCCAACAATGAATATCTTTTTCATTAAATATTTTATTAAGGGAAAGTTTTTCCAAAAACAAATTTTCAAATATTGTCATATAAAAAAGGGAGATTGTTGAACTATATTTTGATATAATAAATTAAGGCTAAATGTTTTTGGACTTGAATTGAATTTATTTAAAGTTTTCAAAGTTCTCAAAAATAATTCAAAGTCCTTAAAAGTGGATTTGAGCACAAAATGATTTTCTGGACAAGAAGTACCGATATTGTTCTTACAATATCGATACCTCATGAACTGTATCAATATTGTTCATATGATACCGATACCAAAGGGGTACCAATACTACTTTGTATAGTAGTATCGATACTATATGCATAATATCGATATCATTAGGCCCCAACGGCTAGTAATAACTAGTTGATTTAAAAAAAATACAAAAGGTAATACTGATACTCTCTTAAGGATTACTGATACCCTCTATACTAGGCAATTTTATTTTACAGAGAAAACATTCTCAAACGGTTCCAAATCATCCCCAACGGCTATAAACGTCCAAACTTCATTCCAACATATAAATACAAGTTGAGGACACTTGAAGAAGGGTTAGAACATCTATCCAAACAATCATACACAAGAGAAACGATTTTCATTCTTATTTTCTTTCTCTTGTAAATATTTTTGTTCTTGTGAGCTTATTTCTTTATAAACACTTACCTTAGAGAGATTTCTTTGTTTACATATTTTTCCTTTTATTAAAGGGGTTTTGGTTATAGTTTAGCCAATTGAAAACTAGGGAATTTGTAAATGTTACTTTTGATCCTTGAAAAATAAAGAATAGATTATGAGATTTGTTAGAAAATCCTTTGTGAGAAGATAAGGTAGTGGAGGTAGACTTAGTTGAGAAGTCGAACCACTATAAATCGATGTACAAAAATTTATATATTTTCTTTCTTCTTACTCTCTAAACTGTTTTTGTCAATTCACCTCTCTTACAACTTTTTCGATTGTTCAGTTGAGTCTCTTCGATCCTAACAAATAGTACCACAGAGCTTTGTCTGTCATTTTGAGGAAGATTTTTCTTTTTGGATATATATCGAATTTGGACCGAACTTGTTCAGCCGTTCATCGGGTCTATGGAGATCTTCAGTTTTTCTGATATTGTAATAATTTGAAATTTCTGATTCTGTCTCTTATTAACTTAAAAGAAGATGCTTATTTCATATCCATATTCGAATCTTTCAACAAATTTCTGGAATTTAAAACACAAGTAAAGAATTTTGTACTTTATCTCTCTTTCGATGAAACAAGCAATTCCACCCGACAACCAGAACATTTCAAGAATGGGATTTTAGGTTAAGAACATAATGAAACACACGTTCACAAGAAAGGAAAAGCTTTATGAACATTAACAAGCCCAAAATATTTCAAAAACGAAAAGCACGTTTTCAATCCTATAAAAACGATGATCCCATGAAGTTTTGTGTTTATATCAACTGTTGTCTTATTTTCCAATTAGCAACAGTAAAAAAGGTATCGAGTTGAAAATGTCGAACGTCAGAGATAGACGGAGCGAACGGTGGCCGACCCATATCGCCGAGAAGTTCGTTCCCACGTCGTACTGGACTGAGGATTCCGAGGGCAATTATTTGCTTGACATTGATCTTCCTGGTATTAAACCAACCAATCTATTTTCATTGGTTCATCACGTTTTCCTTTAAGTTTTTGTTTTAGAAAATCGATTTAACCGAACTGATTTAACGTTTTCTTCTTTGGGTGGGTCTAAACAATTCAGGGTTCAAACATGATGAGGTGAGAATAGAGCAAGAATCAGCTGGTTACATAAAGGTTGGAGGAGAAAGGGTACCGGACGAAAACAAGTGCATATACATCGACCAAACCTTCCGGTTGCCGGAGAATTCAGACACCGAAAACATCCTCGGCAATTTCTACGGTCAGCATCTATGCATTACCGTTCCAAAGAAAATCGCTAGGAATACAGCAGATCAGAGTTCACATGAAAAAGAGGAAGACCACAAAGACGAAGTGGATAATAGAGAAAATGAAACGAAAAATGAATACGAAGAAGGTATTAAGAGCAGCAGTGACCAAACATGTCGTGTTCCGAGTTCAAAGAAACCGAATGGTAAAGACAGTTTGTTATCGATCATAATCAACGGTGTTGAGCGAAATAAGGGGATTGTTCTTTCGGCTTGTATCTCGTTTGCCATTGGAGTGTGGGTGTCCACCAACCTTTGGGTCTAAGTACTGTTTGCATTGTTCGTAAATACATAGTAACGTATATGTAAAATCAATTCTCGTATGTATATACATGTATATGTATGTGTATACTTGTAATAAACATAATATTCAAGGTGTGGCGGTACTCAGGTCCGTATATTAAGAGTCCAGCTATCATTGCAAGGGAATGCTTACCTTGTTTTGATCCTTTTAGACGCTTCGAAGCCATATCTGCGGCTATGAACTCTCGTGGACGCTTATGCGACTCATCTTCTGCAAGTCCCAAAGCATATATATATCTAATTATCTGCATATGCTGCTCGCTTCGAGCAAGTTTTTTGAATAAACCTGAGAAACAAGTAACAAAAGTTAAAACTCATATTGGATCTCCTGATTTAAAACTACAATAAACTACAACTAAGGTTCAGTCCAGGATCATGGTTTTTATAGACTTACAATGAATCTTATCTTCCAAACCAAGAGCCTTAAATATTTCAGTATTTTGAAAATGTCGAGCGACGAACACCAAAGGATCGAGAAGCTCATTGGTATCGAAAGTGTGGGCCAATCGGAAAGAGGCTAAAAGCCACAGGAATCCCAAAACCTCCAATTCATGGCCGGATTCAACTTTCATTTTTGTTTCCCAATCAAGGCTAGAATCATAGCTTTTTCTCTAACATGAGGGTCAATCTCAGGTGAAAGTTCCATCAAATGCTCTAACAAGAGAATACTTCTTCTGGCAACTTTTCCTTCGAACTCTCTGTCTCCCTTACACAAATGTGGAGGATAAAACCCCTCCATTGCTTCCAATACAAGCTTTGCAGGGTCAGCTGAACGTTGAAGGGACATAACAACTTCAGTACCGATTGAACATTGGTCTGTCCAGTGCTCATTTAGGAACATCTGCAAATTCTTTCCATCCGTATTTACACAAAACCAAAGATGCGCTCGTGAAGAATGATCGACGGACAAAATGTTTGCTGCTTCAGCTTTCAATTGAGGATGCAGGGAAGAAGCAAGACCCCTCTTTTTTTCTAGTTCTTTAGACCATTCCACAGGTTCCTTCTCCTTTGATTCGAGATCTTTGAGCCACTGATCATACGTTTCCACATCAAACTCAAGATCACTGGACTGTTGCTCATACTTTCTCCTTTGTTCTGGAGATAATTCTTCAATTTTCTTCTCTCTTAATTCGACTTTTCTCAAACATTCATTATAGTGCTTTGCGTTTAATTTGACTGCACGAAAACATAGCTCAAGACTTCTTTCTTTGAACTCAATATCTTTACGACGTTGCACGAGTTCCTCCTCTTTCCTTTTAATCTCTTCCAGCTGCTTTTGCACCAATTTCTCTTTCGCTTCAAGACTCTTTCGTTCATGCTCATATTGTTTTACATTAATTTCAAGATCTCTGCATTGTTCTTTAACAGCCTTTTCTTTCAACTCAAACTCCTTAAAACGCTTCTCTTTCATCCCAAATTGCTTTTCTTTCAACTCATAATCCCGCAAGCATTTCTCCAAATCTTTCTCCATTGACTTAACCTCATCCTTGCGTTGTTTCACACTAAATTCAAGATCTCAAAGACGCTCTTTCGAAGCCTTTTCTTCCATCTCAAACTCCATAAATCGCTTCTCGAAACTATTCTCTTTCAGCCCGAATTGCTCTTCTTTCAACTCATACTCTCTCAAACATTTCTCCAAGTCTTTCTCTTTCAATCCAACTTCCTCCAACTTATCTTTTACCAATTTCTCCATCGACTTAACCTCGTCCTCACGTTGTTTCACACTAAACTCAAGATCTCGAAGACGTTCTTTCGAAGTTTTTTCTTCCAACTTAAACTCCGTAAATAGCTTCTCGAAACTCCTCTCTTTCAACCTAAATTTCTCTTCTTTCCATTCATACTCCAGCAAGCATTTCTCCAAATCTTTCTCCTTCAATCCAACATCCTCCAACTTATCTTTCACCAATTTCTCCGTAGACTTAACCTCATCCCCACGTTGCTTCACAATAAACTCAAGATCTCAAAGAAGCTTTTTCGAAGCCTTTTCTTCCAACTCAAATTCTGTAAATCTCTTCTCGAAACTCTTCTCTTTCGACCCTAATTGCTCTTCTTTCAACTCATACTGTTTCAAGCATCTCTCCAAACTTTTCTCTTTCAATCCAACTTCCTCCAACTTATCTTTCACCAATTTCTCCATCGACTTAACCTCATCCTCACGATGTTTCACACTAAACTCAAGATCTCAAAAACGCTCTTTTGAAGCCTTTTCTTCCAACTCAAACTCCGTAAGTCACTTCTCGAAACTCTTCTCTTTCAACCCGAATTGCTCTTCTTTCAACTCATACTCCATCAAGCATTTCTCCAAATCTTTCTCCTTCAATCCAACTTCCTCCAACTTATTTTTCACCAATTTCTCCATTGACTTAACCTCATCCCCACGTTGTTTTACACTAAACTCAAAATCTCAAAGACTTACTTTCGAAGCCTTTTCTTCCAACTCAAACTCCATAAATCACTTCTCGAAACTCTTCTCTTTCAACCCGAATTGCTCTTCTTTCAACCCATACTCCAGCAAGCATTTCTCCAAATCTTTCTCTTTCAATCCAACTTCCTCCAACTTATCTTTCATCAATTTATCCATCGACTTAACCTCATCCTCACGTTTTTTCACACTAAACTCACGATCTCGAAGACGCTCTTTCGAAGCCTTTTCTTCCAACTCAAACTCCGTAAATCGCTTCTTGAAACTCTTCTCTTTCAACCAGAATTGCTTTTCTTTCAACTCATACTCCAGCAAGCATTTCTCCAAATCTTTCTCCTTCAATCCAACTTCATCCAACTTATCTTTCACCAATTTCTCCATCGACTTAACCTCATCCTCACTTTATTTCACATTAAACTCAAGATCTTGAAGACTTTCTTTCAAATCCTTTTCTTCCAACTCAAACTCCATAAATCGCTTCTCAAAACTCTTTTCTTTTAACCCGAATTGCTCTTCTTTCAACTCATACTCTCTCAAGCATTTCTCCAAATCTTTCTCCTTCAATCCAACTTCCTCCAACTTATCTTTCACCAATTTCTCCATCGACTTAACCTCATCCTCGCGGTGTTTCATACTAAACTCAAGATCTCGAAGACACTCTTTCGAAGCCTTTTCTTCCAACTCAAATTCTGTAAATCTCTTCTCGAAACTCTTATCTTTCGACCCTAATTGCTCTTCTTTCAACTCATACTCTTTCAAGCGTCTCTCCAAACCTTTCTCTTTCAATCCAACTTCCTCCAACTTATCTTTCACCAATTTCTCCATCGACTTAACCTCATCCTCATGTTGTTTCACACTACACTCAAGATCTCGAAGACTTACTTTCGAAGCTTTTTCTTCCAACTCAAACTCCATAAATTGCTTCTTGAAACTCTTTTCTTTCAACCCAAATTGCTCTTCTTTCAACTCATACTCTCTCAAGCATCTCTCCAAATCTTTCTACTTCAATCCAACTTCCTCCAACTTATCTTTCACCAATTTCTCCATCAACTTAACCTCATCCTCGCGGTGTTTCACACTAAACTCCAAGATCTCGAATACGCTCTTTCGAAGCCTTTTCTTCCAACTCAAACTCCATAAATCGCTTCTCGAAACTCTTCTCTTTCAACCCGAATTGCTCTTCTTTCAACTCATACTCTCTCAAGCATCTCTCCAAATATTTCTCTTTCAATCCAACTTCCTCCAATTTATATTTCACCAATTTCTCCATCGACGACACCTCTTTACATTGCTCCTCGCGTTGTTTTTCACTAATTTCAAGATCTTTACGACTCTGTTCAATATCCTTCTCCTCTAACTCAAAATCCCTACAAAGCTTCTCGAAAACCTTCTCTTTTAGACCCAACTCCCCATCTTTCAGTTTAAGCTCTTCCCGTTGTTCTTCAACTGAATGCTGAGCAGCATCCAAAACAATTTCCATATCTTTCCATTGAAGATTAAGAAACATAATGGAAGAAGCACGATCATGAATCTCATTCATAGTTCTTTGCAAGCTGCTTTTGCTTAACTCCATTATCTCTGAATCAATTAACTTATCCATCAAGTAACTCAAACTTCTAAACTCAATGTATATAGAACACCAATAGCCAAATCCTACCGCAAAACAAAAACAAAATTACTTAAGAGATACTGAAAATCAGAGAATTTTAGAGGAAACAGTGAAATTTAGCTAAGTAAAAAAAAATCCTATCAGAAATTTACAATGTCAAGGAATATAAACATGCAATCAAAACATAATCGCTAAATCGTGGAACTTTAATAGATTGTTGTTAAGCTTTTGCTTCCCTTTGAGATTTTTCTCAGCAGCCAAACAAACCCTAGCTTCATCAACCAAAAGCAGAGAAAAACCACACACAGGTAGACAAAAGCAATAATTTGGGGACTAGAAAGATAATTTACCCCAAAACAAGAGAACGAAGTTTTCGTGTATCATCTCAGGTTTTTTATCGAGGAATGAGGATGGGTTCTGGTGCATGTGGATGAGCTGGCAAACGAGTATGAAACTCTATGGTAAAATAATAATATTCTAATATTTTCAATAAAGTAATTAATTAATTTTATACTCAGTAAATAATGATTTTAAAGATAAATTATACTTTAATTTAATAAATAAAATATTAAATGTTTTAAGTAAAATTATAATTTAAATTTTAACATCAGGAATATAATGTATTGGAGATATATCGTTTTTATACTAAATTTTAAAAATATTTAACTTAAATTAATGAGCATAATCACAGAAAAGATAATAAATTAAAAAATATCTTATCTATGTTTAATTTTTAAATTATTATTAATAAGTCAAATATTAATAATTATATTAAAAATAATAAATTATACTTACCTTTAATTACTCATTTAGTTAAAGAAAAATTCAATCGACCCTATTTTCAGAAAAGAAATATCCCTACTTTACGGGTTTTAAATTATTTTTTATTTATATTAAAAATAAGTACTTAAAATGTATTATCTTTTTCCTTTAGATATTTAAAGTATTTTTTGTTTGAAGTAAATATTTAATGTTTTTTTATCAAAATAAATACCTAAAATATCTTTTGGTTAAAATAATTGCTTAAATTATTCAATCTTTCTCATTTGTTCTTAAAAATTTGAAACATCGTATCTTTTAAATAATATTTTAGGTATTTAAATAAAAAAGTTAAATACTTTGAATACTTATTTTGATTAAAAAATTCTTTAAATATCTATTTTGATTAAAAAATAAATTATATTTTTATTTTAACAAAAAAATACTTCAAATACTCAAAAAAAATATAATTTAGATACTTATTTATTATATAAGACTTACTTTTTCAATAGTTTTTTTTTGTGATCTTTTTTCTCAATAGTTCATTCTAACCCACATAGGTAGCCTGGGGATTTAACCTGCGTCACACACGTGTAGGGTCTTGATTAAGCGTTCCCTCAAGCCCCTCCGTCGAGCATAACGAAATGTCATCAGCGCCGCCGCAACCGTCAAAAAAAGCGACGGACCAGACAAGTCCAACAAAGCCAGCTGCCAACCCAAGCGCTTCCAAGGACTTTTCCACCGTTCCAGCCCAGGTTCCACCCAGATGCTGGCGATTTCCGACAACTAATAATTAAAATATTTGATAATTTTATTATTAAAAATCATTAAAAAATTTAATAATATTTAATATAATATTAAATTAGAGTTACAATTGTAATTTAATACTATGATATGTAGTTTTAACTTTATTTTATAAATCGTTGTACATACGGTGGCTAGCTAGCTACGTAGTAACAAGTACAAGAATTCCACCGTAGCTTTATTCGGCCGTCCCTGGTCATCACCACAAACTGTGGTTGACGGCGGAAAATAATCAAACATCTACTGTCTATTTGAGAAGAAAACCACCGTCAACCACCAAGTCATGGCCAGTAACAAGCTCAGAATCCTGAGAGGCCAGAAACACCACCGCGTCAGCAACGTGCTTCGTTTTCAGCACCGCCCCTTTCAAGCTAGTGTACGGCTCGAAGAGCTTCTCCGTCTCCTCCGCCTCTTTTCCCAGGTAACGGTAGAGCAACGGAGTTCCCACAACAAAAGGCGACACGCTGTTCACCCTAATCCCATGCGCCCCGAGCTGTTTGCTTGCCGATCTCACCAACCCAATCACCGCATGCTTCGACATGAAGTAGTCGGTGTCCCTTTCGCCGCCGGAGCTGCCGCATGTGCTCGCCGTGCAGACGATGCTACCTCTTATCTTCAGTTCCACCATGGCTCGCGCGGCTTGTTTCACGCAGGCAGACATGCCGCGCACGTTGACGGCGAAAAGGCGGTTAAACTCCGCAAAGTCTAGCTCGAGGACGGTTTGAGCCGAGTTGCTAAATATCCCGGCGTTACTGAACATGATGTCGAGCCGCCCGTGGTGTTGGACAGTCGACTGGACCAAGTCCTTCACTTGCTCTTCGTCGGTAACGTCACATTGCACGAATGAGCACTTATCGGAGCCGATCGATTCGACTACTTTTTGGCCTAATTCATCTTGGATGTCGGCGATCACGATCATACGGGCACCGTGGGCGGCGAAATGATGGGCAGTGGTTTCTCCGATGCCGCTTGCTCCGCCGGTGATTATGGCTACTTTGCCTTGGAGCTTGTTGGACATTGTAGAGTCTGTTAAGTTTGGTATTCGAGCAAAGAACAATTAGATATGTAAAAAACAGTATATGTTAAGCTGTCATTATATAGTCAAATTGTTTTTTAGTCACATTTTTTTTCTTTCAAAATTGTCGTCTTTTATATATATATATTTTAAAAAATTTATATCATTCATATTTTAATTATTTAAAACATCAATATATTTATATTTATTATAGACCTAAAATTTTAAATTATCATATTTATTTTAACTATAGATTCTGTTCAAATATATACAGTAATTGTATTTTTTATAGTAAATAAATTATTTACATTAAAAAACGTAAAATATATGATTTATTTGAGTTTGGATAATTCTCTGGTCAAAAATGCCATCTAACTCTATCAAATAATTCTCTCGTCAAACATATATGGGTCTTACCAACTGACTATGTAACACACTTTTATAATCTTAGAATATATTGTATAAAAATAAATAAATAATTATAAATAATTTAAATATATTATTACTTTTTATAATAAGTATTATTTCTTAACAAAAACAATAAATATTTTTTATTTATGTTTAAGTATGTTTTATTTATTTTAATTATATATATATATTGGTTTTTTAAAGACATTTTTCATCATATTTTTATTATTTAATAGTTAATTTATATTCACTAATTTTTAACAATTTAACTTATATTGATTTTTTATTTATTTAATAAAATTAACAATAAAATAAAAATTAAAAAAAATGAAAGCATGCAAACATAATCAATTACAAGGTACACGATATTGAGAGGTAAGTCGTTATTTGAGCACAAGCAAACATCTAGTTGCTACAGTAATTTGAGCAGTAGCAGCTTACAACTCTCAGCGGCAATTAATCAAACACCTGGTATCTACCTGACAAGAAAACCCGCATCCACCACCAGGTCATGTCCGGTTATTAAATCGGAATCTTGCGACGCAAGAAACAGCACAGCATCAGCAATATGCTTCGTGTCGAGCGTCACCCCTTTCAAGCTAGTGTGTGGCTCGAAGAAATCGGAATAACGACGGAGTAACGAGGTATGCACCACGTACGGTGAAACACTGTTCACCCTAATCCCATGCACCCCAAGCTGTTTGCTTGCCGATTCACCAACCCAACCAACGCATGCTTCGACACGCAGTAATCAGTGAAGCGTTCACTACCGGAGCTGGCGGAGGTGCTCGCCGTACAAACGATACTTCCTCTTATTTTCAGTTCCACCATGGCTCGTGCGGCGTGTTTCACGCAGGCGCCCATGCCGCGCGCGTTGACGGCGAAGATGCGGTCGAACTCGGCGAAGTCTAGTTCGAGGATGGTCTGAGTCGTGTTGCTAACTATCCCGGCGTTACTGAACATGATGTCGAGACGCCCGTGGTTTTGGACGGTGGAATGAACTAAATTCTTCACTTGCTCTTCGTCGGCAACATCACAGTGCTTGTATGAGCACTTATGGGAACCGATCGATTCCATTACTTTTTGGCCTAACTCATCTTGGATGTCAGCGATCACCATCATACGGATACCGTGGACGGCGAAATGACGGGCGGTGGCTTCTCCGATTCCGCTTGCTCCGCCGGTGACTATGGCTACTTTGCCTTCAAGCTTGTTTGACATTGGAGAATTCGCGGAGTTAGCTGTTTAGGGTATCATGTCACTATAAACTAAAGAACACCATGAATAATGATTATGCTATATGATAATTTAATAAATTTAATAATTGGATTGGATAATAATGCCATATTAAATGTCCCAATGATTGACATTATTAAAGTCATTGATCACAAAATATAAAATTCATAACTAAATAATTTCGATGTAAAATAATTGTTATTATTTTTTTAGGTTTCGGGTTCGAACACTAAAAATACTAAAAGTGTAAAATTTCAATATCAAATGGTTAAGAGTTATCTTTGTACATATATTAAAATTGGAAGGGTCGTCTTTATCTCTGCAATACCTAATCAGAATTAATCGTCTAACAGATCAAATATATCTGGTTATATAAAAAAAAACTCACTAGATTAATATATATATTGAAAGTGCATGTGTAAATATATTATAATTTATTAAAACGTATATGAAATTATACTAATTATAAGTTACACTCCAAATTATTTAATTATTAATATATTTTAATTTAGAGCATTTAACTATTACATTTTTTTTCAATTTCAGGACGAAACCTGAAACAGGCCGTCTACAACCAAATTATGGCCAGTGACAAACAGAGATTCCTCACTAGCAAGGAAGACAGCAGCATCGGCCACATGCTTCACCTTCAACACTCCATCGTTTTTCAAGCGAAACATCCTCAAAAACATCGATTCTATGTCGTCCGCCCCCATTCCGAGAGTTGCACAAAGAGCAGACGTCGCCACCGGTCCTGGTGAAATGATTTTAACGTGTATCACATGCGGAGCTAACTGAGAACTTGCGCACCTCATCAACGCAACGACCAAGCTCTTCGACATTACGTAATCCGTATTCCGGTCACTCGCAAGTCCGGCAGCTATACTAGCCTTGCATATGATGCTTCCTCTGCTATTGGCCTTCACCATGGCCTGCCCTGCATACTCGATGCTGGCAGCAACCTCACCTACATTGACAGCGAAGAACTTCTCGTAGGACGATAAGTCGAATTCGAGTATCGTCTTCATCGATTGGCTCAGAACTCCCGCGTTGCAAAACATGATACCAAGGCGACCGTGGAGTCGGATCGTGGACTGAACAAGGGATCCGATGTCTTGCTCCTTTGTTACATCGCAGTACATGCACAACGTCCTTCTCGTCTTCGATGTCCGCAATCACAATGGCCCCTGCACCGTGGTCGACGAAGAGATGCACGGTGGCCTCGCCGATGCCGCTTGCACCGCCGGTGATAATGGGCACTTTGCCTTGGAGCTTCTTGTTGTAGGCTCTGGGGTCTACCATTTTATGTGTAATGAAGCGTGAAAAATGGCGAGTATATAAAGCATCCAATCACATGGGGCTCAAGTTTATCTTCTGTTGAAACTTGCAATCTGAATGTCACTATAATGCTTCTTATTTTTATTCTGTATAATATATCACATATTTCTACTTTCTCTGTATATATATACACATCAACTGAAAGTAAATGTAATGCTTAAGTTTGTCGCCATTGCAACAAATGTTATCGCGGTCACTGCAAATATCGAGGTTGTGAAATAACGAATACCGAATTGTTATTTAAATTCTTGCTTTACACCAAAGTCTAGTTTTTTTTCTCCTACATTGATCATCTTGTAGCTGGAAAACACCAGGAAGAAGAGGATAAGTCGAATTCGAGTATTGTCTGCATCGATTGGCTCGGAATGCCGGCGTTGCAAACCGTGATGTCTAGTCGACCGTAGAGTTGGATAGTCGATTGAACGAGGGATTCAACTATTCTTATTCTTAGTGATTAAGAAAACTTTTTTTAAAAATGTGAACATAAGCAACTACAAAGATATGCGATACTGAGAGGCAAGTCGTTATTTGAGAACAAGCAAGCATCAAGTGGCTACCGTTGTTTGAGCAGTAGCAGCTCACAGCGGCAATTAATCAAACACCTGGTGTCTACTTGCCAAGAAAACCAGCATCCACAACCAGGTCATGCCCGGTAATCAACTCAGAATCATGTGACGCAAGAAACAGCACTGCATCAGCAACATGCTTCGTTTTCAGAACCACCCCTTTCAAGCTGGCGTATGGCTCGTAGAACAGCTCCGCCACCTCCGCCTCCTCCGGCTCTTTCCCGAGGTGACGATTGAGTAACGGGGTTTGCACGGCATACGGTGAAACACTGTTCACCCTGATTCCATGCACCCCGAGTTGTTTGCTTGCCGATCTCACCAACCCAATCACCGCGTGCTTCGACATGTAGTAGTCGGTGTCCCTTTCACCGCCGGAGCTAGCGGCGACGCTCGTCGTACAAACGATGCTTCCTCTTATTTTCAGTTCCACCATGGCTCGTGCGGCGTGTTTCACGCAGGCGGCCATGCCGCGCGCGTTGATGGCGAAGATGCGGTCGAACTCGGCAAAGTCTAGTTCAAGGATGGTCTGAGCCGACTTGCTCATATTCCCAGCGTTACTGAACATGATGTCGAGCCGCCCATGGTTTTGGACGGTCGTCTGGACTAAATTCTTCACTAGATCTTCGTCGGTAACATCACAGTGCATGTATGAGCACTTATGGGAACCGATCGATTCCACTACTTTTTGGCCTAACTCATCTTGGATGTCGGCGATCACTATCATACGAACACCGTGGACGGCGAAACAACGGGCGGTGGCTTCTCCGATGCCGCTTGCTCCGCCGGTGATAATGGCTACTTTGCCTCCCAGCTTGTTGGACATTGTAGAGTTGGGCACTAGGAAGTGGACAACGATGATAAGCACAGCCCGATTAAATGATTTCTAGCTAAGCTGTCGTGCTCGTGCATTAAGAACCAAATCACATGTTGGAAGAACCAAACCTTATCCTATTTGTAATTTTATTCGGATCTAACGTGTATGGTTATTAATATTTTAGTAAGTTTTTACTTTTTTTTCTTTAAAATTTTAAAAATAACAAATCAATCATTAATATTATTGATTTATAATAAAATAATCATTAATATTATTGATTTATAATAAAATGATCACTTTATCGTCGTTCTCGTTAAATTGATGATATGACATCGTTAATAAAAAATGTTAATATTTCATTTTATCCCTAAATTATTGCTAAAACATTAAATAAGTCCTTGCACAATGAATTTATATCTAATTTATCTCATAACGGAGGTCTTCTACGGAAGCTGCTCTCAACCTGGCGTTGGGGGCAGCTACTACCTTACCTCCCCCTTACCCCATTATATATGGGAATAGGTTCAGCTAGTTTTTTTATCTCAAAACTTTCTAATTATTTTTTTTAACTTCCATTATATTCGAACCACATTCCTTAAAAAAAATACACTTAAACAATTAGGAGCAATTCCCTTGATATTTGCTTCAATCAAACTTAAGAAAAACATTTATATTTAGACAATAAGTCCCATTCTCTTTTGTTGAAAGAAAAAAAAGCAAGTCATTCTATTAATTTTTTTGTTTCATTATATTTTAGACAATTAGTAACCTACGAACCAAAAATCAAATGTTAAAGAGAGAATAAAACACACCAGTAAGTATTTTACTCCAACGCAAATTGTAAAATAAGAACAAAAACACTGAATTCGAAGATTAGTATTGTAGCTGAAGATAAATTTGAACTTTTAGGTTATGTTTAAGTATGATTGAAACAAATACCAAGGAAAGTGCTCCTAATTGTTCAAGTGTGATTTTTATTTGTATGGAACATTGTTCGAATTTAGTGAAGGTAATGGGTGTTTGGAAAAAATGGAAATTTGAAAAAAATTATGATAAGTTGAATATAAAATCACTGTTTAATGACCTATATTATATTTTAGCAGTAGTTTAGGAGTAAACTGAAATATTAACCTTTTTGTTAACATTGACACGTTATCAATTTAACGTAGATAACGGTGGAGTGGTAAGTTTTGTTACAAATTGTTAACGTTAGTGACCATTTTGCTACAAACCAATTTTGTTAGTAACCATTTTTTACTTTTTGAAACTTTATTAGAAAAAACTAAAATTTACTCAAACTTTAGTAATCATTGATGTAATTTACACTAAATTTTATTTTAAAAATTTAAATTTAAATTAAAAGAATTTCAATGTATATTCAAGTTGATTCAACTTTAGGGTGAAAAGAATTCAACCAAACCTATAATTCTTATTTATATATTTAAAAAAAATTATAATAATAATTTTTTCTATTTTATTTAATAAAAATAATCTTTATATATATTAAATTCTATATTTTATTTAATAAATTACACTCTTAACTATTTAATTGTTAATATGTTTTATTTTGAGTATTTGACTGCTACATTTTTTGGATTTCAGGCCGAACCCTGAAACAGACCGTCTACAACCAAATTATGGCCGGCGATAAACTGAGATTCCTCGCTAGCAAGGAAGACAACAGCATCGGCCACATGCTTCACCTTCAATGCTCCATATTTTTTTAAGCAAACAAACCTTGAAGACATCGATTTTATGTTGTCCGTCCCCATTCCTAAAGCATTACAAAGAGCAGGCGTCGCCACTGGTCCCGGTGAAACGCAGTTGACGCGTATCCCGTGCGGAGCTAACTGAGTACTGGCGCACCTCATCAACGCGATCACCGAGCTCTTCGACATTACGTAATCCGTGTTCCAGTCACTCGCAATTCCAGCAGCTATACTAGCCGTGCATATGATGCTTCCTCTGGTATTGGCCTTCACCATGGCCTGCCCTGCATACTTGATGCTGGCAGCAATCCCACCTACATTGACAGCGAAGAGCTTCTCGTAGGACGATAAGTCGAATTCGAGTATCACCTGCGTAGATTTGCTCAGAATGCCGGCGTTGCAGAACATGATATCCAGGCAGCCGTAGAGCTCATTGAACGAGCGATTCAACATCTTGCTCCTTCGTTACATCGCAGTGGACATAGGTACAAGCACATCGGTTCCGATCGATGCAGCGAGTTTCTCGCCCTTCTCGTCTTGGATGTCCGCGATCACGATGGCCTTGGCACCATATTCGGCGAACAGATGCACGGTGGCCTCACCGATGACGCTCTACTTTGCCTTGGAGCTTGGAATCTGCCATTTTATGTGTTTATGAACCGTGAAAAATGGTGAGTATATAAAGCATCCAATCACACGGGGCTCAAAATTTTCATGAATATGACATTTAATCCTTGACTAGACAGATAAAGATACCAAGTGCACGGTCAACTCTTTTAGTAGTTGATGTAGATCAATCGTCATACGTCATTGATCGTCCGCTTATTATAAGATTAGTATTAAAATGTTTTTATTCGTATAAAGTTCGATAGGAAAATCGATATTAAACCAAAAGTTTATGGTTCTTAGTGTAGTTTGCCTTTTAAAAATGGACCGGGATGAATGAGGTGATGAATTCAGTTATACTATGCAGTAAAACTAATACAGAACCACCGTTCAAGTTGATAATTAAGCTGCTGGACACCGTGCACATCCCATACAGTGCGACAAAATCGCGAGAAAACCGAGGAAAATTCGAGAAACGGCCATGATTCTCGGTACTTCGTCTATGTCCGTTTAACAATACTCCGAGTGAGAGTCATAGAAGTCGCTAGGGCACGGTGACATGATCTCCTGCTCAAGCAACTGAACTACTTGGTTCATTGTTGGACGTTCGTCTGGATTTGCGTCGGTACACCTTGCTGCTACTTCAAGAATTGCATCTAACGTTTCCATGTCCACGTCGTTACATCTTCGATCGACTATTTCTTCCAATCGGTTCTCGTTCAATAGTGTGTTCATCTGCAGATGTGCGAGAGAAAACACAAATTATATTATGCATTTTTCCACTTAACTCGAACGAACTGTTCTCTGTAGGTATGAGGAGCTTACCCAGCCAACAACATTCAAGCCTCTCCTTACAAAAGCCGGATCGGTTGGTCTTTTTCCGGTTACAAGCTCCAACAAGAGAACTCCGAAGCTATACACATCGGACTTTTCCGTGGCTCGACCACTTTGCAGATATTCTGTACCATCATTTCAAGTTATACTAAATCAATACCAGTGCAACCGGAACATTCTAAATGACATTTTCTTAATACGGTAAGATGTACCTGGAGCCAAATATCCGAAAGTTCCAGCGACCACGGTAGTGACATGTGCTTCCTCATCCACCAAGAGTTTGGCAAGACCAAAGTCTGATACATGGGGCTCCAAGTTTTCATCGAGAAGAATGTTGCTCGATTTTATGTCTAGATGAACTATCTTCGGGCAACAATCATGGTGCAAGTATGCGATACCTCGAGCAGAACCGAGGGCGATTTTTAAACAAGCGCACCAGTTCAATGTCCTGGCTTCTTTGCTTTCTAAAAATGTATTATGACATGCACAAGAACGCGATTAAAACCGAGGATTTCAGTATCGTGTTAATGATTGCATATCATTCGATAAAGCATACCGTGAAGGAAGTCGTCCAAGCTGCCCATAGCAAGATAATCATAGATAAGAAGTTTCGATGACGGCAACCTGCAGTAACCTCGTAGATTAACTAAATTAATGTGTTTGATACTGCCCAATATCTCTACCTCTCTCTCAAAGACTTCATCAGATCCTTCACGATTCCGGTCTATTCTTTTAACAGCAAATGTTCCACAATCATTCATCACCATTCGATATACAGTTCCGAACCCCCCCGACCCCACAACATCCTCTTCATCAAGGGATTCTAGCTTTTCTATAATCTCGCACGACGGATACGGCAGATCCCCATGAAAAGTGACGAGTTTCGCACCTACAAGAAAAGCATTAATCGTTCAGATTCAGGGCAGAGGCCGAGAACGATACGGCATTCTCGAGAAAAGCCGAAGTTTAGCTTACTCGTATCTTGGTGGACTTGTTTCTTGACTTCTGTATATTTCTTAGCATCCCTTTCCTTCTTTGATAGTAGACATATCCAGAGAAATGCAAGGAGAACAACAAGCATGACAGCCAATGTTGACATTGCACCGATCAGCACACCTTTGATATAGCGAGATGATCGCTTCGTTTGGACTGCGAAAATCAAAAACGATAATCCCCATATTATTACACAATGAAAGCTTTTAAGACATATAGCAATTAAAGCTTGAGTACTTAACAACAAAACTTGCCTTCTGTTTCATCACTTTCAGCATGAGGAAGGACTGCCGGGAATCCCAGTGAGGTCCGACACGGCTTGTGAACTTGTTGGCCGCATAGATCCAAATTACCAAGAAACCTGAACATAAAGGAGGAACCGTTCAGACTAGGAACGAGCATATACGAGGTGTTAGTAACACATGAAAAGAAAGCATAGATAATCAAAGTTATTCATGGTAATGACAAGGGTACTCACGACTTGTTCCCGAAAGTGTTGAGTACTCCGATATCCGGGATTTCACCAGAGAAAAAGTTGGTGGACAAATTTCTGCATCAAAGAGGAACCATCAAAGGCTTAAGAAACCACTTTTCTTTCAGTTAAACAACTCAAATTACATTTGACAAGCTATAACTCGATGTGAACTTACAGGTAACGCAGTTTAATAAGACGGCCTATAGATGAAGGTATTGCACCCTTTAGCAAATTGCTCGATAAATCCCTACAAATAACAAAAGCATCAACAAAACAAACCCTTCGATACACATCGATCCCTTGCAACTAAACACAAACAATAGCACATTCGGGGAGCTTACATTACAGTAAGAAGAGAAAGGCTTCCAATTTTCGACGGTATGCCACCTTCGAGAAAATTAGCTCTCAAGTAACTGCACAGACAAGCGAATCGAAACACGTAAACGAGTCTAATTAACCGCCCCACAAAAGGGATAAAAAGTGAAGAATATGTTGTGCTTACAGAGCTCTCAAATGAACACAGTTTGTAATTTCATTAGGAATCAGTCCATGTAAGTTGTTCTGGTGCAATGCCCTGTATTACCAACAATAAGAATGCCAAAAACAAGTCCGAATCATGATTCTAAACCCGGACTAATCAACGACGAAAGCTGGAACTAACTAGGCTAAACCCCGAGTTCAAAAACTAAGAAATGAACTCAGTCAACTCACAGTCTTTGCAATCTGTTGAGTTTGCCGATGCTGGGAGATATTTTGCCTCCTAATTGCATGTACGGCAAGTGCTGTGGAAACTAAATCATATAAGTAAAAGCTAAGCGAAAATAAACAAAATAACAAAAGGGTGAGTGATTTTTACATTGATCGAACCCTTTGAAGATTGGGGAAACAAGAAATGCCAGTCCAATTGCAGGGTGTATCGTCCGTTGCTAGCCAGTTTCCAAGATAGTTTCCACTGTCATTCAATGTGCTTTTGATCTCCAACAATGTTAGACCTTAAAAAACCCAAATCAGATCAAAGAAACATAAAGCTCAGCTCCATTTCTAAGCATTTAAAAAGAAGGAAATATCTGGGAAAAGCAAAAAGACAAAAAAAGAAAAACTAAAACAGTGATGGGTTTTCAAATTTCAGCCATTACCATCGTCAGTGAGAGCAAAAGAGCAGGTGCTCAAAAGGGTAGCTGCAAAAAGCACAGAGGAAAACCAAACAAACACCTTCATTTTCCAGCTCAACTTGCGGCACAAGATTCAGGGAAGTTTTTTAAAGAGAAATTATGATATTTTTTGTGAGAGAAAGAAGGGTTTTTGGAAGTGAATGATGAGAGTGAGGAAGTGGAATGTTTTAATAATTACTTGAAGCATGAGAGAGAAAGAGAGTGTTTGCAGAATATTTTATGAATACAAATGGAGGGTTCCCTGACTCTCTTTTGAAATCTTTCATAGAAAGTAGTGCTGCTGTGTAGCCGTTGTGTTGTACCTATTGAAATTCAAACAACTTCTTGGGCAAGAATCCGTAGGCATAGGAAGAGGGTAAATAAGAAATAATATAATCAAATTTATAATTATTTTTACGTAGTAATACTCAAAGCTAAAATTTAAAATTTATAATATATAATGACAACATGCATGAAACATGAGTTCAAGTGTGTTAAAACGTACAATAGCGTTCAATTTAAAATTGGGTAAATTACACGGATTATCACTGTATTTTATTTTATTTCCTATTATATTCATTGTACAATTTCATCACTGAACTTTATACATTTAGCTTTTTTGGTCACTAAACTTAATAAAATTAGTTTTAGGTCATTGAGTTGTTACTCACGACTAATAGAATGCTCATGTCGATAGAGCGACGGAGAATGGACACTACCACTTAGGTTTCGGTCGGAACTAGACAAGAAACTCATTGGTGAAGGCGGTGAGGTGCAACGGCGACGGAATCGACTGAAAATCGTAAAAATCAACAACGGCATCGTTATGGGTTTTTGACAAAACTTTGATCAGTCATCGACGGCGAACGACGATACTTCATGGAGCGGGGTCGGTAGGGGTTTTACCAGAGCATGAAGACGCTTCTGACGCCATAGGCGGTGACACTCGCCGACGAACAGTGACCGAGACCAACGGTGAAGGGCGTCTAGCAACTTTCTCACAATTTGCGATGTTTTGACGATCGATTTTGGGTAGCTAGTGGTTGGAGTTTACTCGGGAGGTGACACCGGAACTGCTGGTGGAGGCGGTGCAAGCCACCGCTGGCCGAAGACGATGGATTGAAAGAGAGATGTGTTTCTGAAAACGAAAGGGAGAGAGAGTTAACGTCGTTTGCGAGGAAAACGTCTGGGTGACCAAATTTGTAAATTATATTAAATTCAGTGATGAAATTGACCAATTTTAAAGTACAATGAGTGAATTAGGAAATAAAGCAAAGTACAGTGATGATTCGTGTAATTTACCCTTTAAATTTTCGATAAAAGTTAATATCTTTTAATGGAATAAAGTTGAAAATAGTATCAAAATTGTCATTTTGATTTCTATTTTTTTTTAACATTTTAGTATGAAACGTTTTATTTTAGGACAAAAAGACCCCTAACATTATTTAAGAACAAAATAATATTCATTTTCGGATAAAAATTTCATATTTTATAGTGTTAATTGAGTGTTAACAAACGGTTTTCACCTATAGAGGGTTCCCCACCCCCCACCCCCAATAAAATATTAGAGCTAAAATGCTCCAAAAAAATAATAGAGCCCAAATTAGTATTATATATTTTTTAATTAATAAAAAATTATAATTTGATTAAATTTATTAAAAATTGTTGTCTTTTTATCTTCAAATATATTTTGACTCATGTTCAAGTCAATAACATCTCTAGCTCTTTGGACAAAGAATAAAAAATCTTTAACCCTTACGATTAATTAAAAATTAATATTTTTGTTGTAACTAAACGGTACTGCAAAAACGGATGTCGTTTTATAGGAGCAAACATAACTTCTTTAAGGGGGTAAACTATGAATTTAGTATCTAGACTATGAGTTTCGGTTCGTTTTAATGTCGAAACTTTCAATTTTTTCAAAATTATACTTAATATTTAGTTTTTATTTCGTTTTAATACCACATTGTTAAAAACTTAACGTATTTAGATTCTAAACTGTCAATTTTGATCTATTTTAATACCTAAACTTTCAAAAAAAATTCAAAACTCCACGTTAAAATTTGAATATGGTACTAAAATGAAAAAAATAAACTTTATATATGATTTTGAAAAAATTGAAAGTGTAAGCACTAAAACAGATCAAAATTGATAGTTTAGGTACTAAACAAATAGTTTACCCTTTTTAAGCTTAAGTATACATCTATTTATCATTTTCTCTCAATTCGATACTTTAATCCTTTTATATTCTAATTTGGTACATATATGTTTACTCCATCGACTAATTTGGTACATGTGGTTAGGTCTTTAGACAATGTGACACGTAAAGACAACGTTATTTGACATAACAATGCCACCGTAATATAACCATGAAAATTACGAGTCGAATTAGATCGAGTCGAATTTTTAACATTAAATCGAGTCAAATTTTAATCATTCTAATGATGATAATCTTAACTAGTCTAGGGAATAATGATTTAATACAATAACTAAAAAGCATATATCATCTCACCAGAACATTGTCATAAAAGTGGAGGAATATTATTTGAATTTTTTTTAATAACGTAAGACCTCCCAAGGTCATACTAAAGAATCCGATCCTACAAGGCAACCTCTGGAGGGGCTCAAAGAACCCACCACTTTGTCCCCCGCTTTTTTTTAGGATTCCCAGCCAACGCGGTTCGAACCTAGAACATGAGATCAACTTATAATCCCCTTCAAAACATGCACTAACTAATACTTTATGGGTTTGGGGGTTCATCTGCAATTCAAGCAAAACATTTGACCCTACCTTACCTTTAAATATTAGGATAAACTATTCATTCAGTCATCGATATATTTTCGTGTTTTATTTTGATCACCTAACTATATATTTTTTTCAAAATCATACTTAAATTTATGTTTCATTTCTATTTTGATCACCGGCAATTAGGTTTAATGGTTGATTTAACAGAAATAGTTATCTAACATGATATAATAACAGTTTTAATCCTCAAAATTTACACATTCTATTAAACTGATTATAATTTGAAATAATTCAATAAATCTCCAATACTTAAACCACCTCGTAAAGTTTAAACCATGCCACGCTCCTGACCGGAACGCCAGGCAGTTGACGCCGACTCGGATTTTTAGTTGAAAACAAGCTTTTGTTACTAAAACACTTGCAATCAAGACATTATAAAAGAAAACAACGATGACTAATCCAGAAGAAGAAATACATGAACAAACAAGGATACCAAAAAACAAAGATTTGAAACATCTTTATAATGCCATTTGTCAAAGACAACCTCCTACACTACATGCTGCACATAATACTAAAACAAAACAATCATCAAACATAGACATGAAAATACATACATACATATATATATACCGACATGCCCTTCACATTCTACGGACACCTAACCTACGTCTGTCGGACTCGGATGCGAGTGAGTGTTCAACAAAGATATGGTAAATTCGGAGAATCATACTCCAGACCCGTACCTGAACATGGATGGAGTATGATCAACTCTAGAAAAGAACAAATAATCCACTTAACATGGCAGCTGACAACTTTAACCGATCAATGCACACTTCATGCAGCAGCAAAAAAGACAACAACCAAAGCCGGCGATGTAAACATGTTACGGAAGAATTAATGTCTTCCACCGAAAAGCTCACTGTTAAACTTGAACCTAAATGCCATTCCGTGAAGCAACTGGTGTGGTACGTTTCAGTTATAGATCGTTTATCGACATCAAATGGTGAGAGAAACATCGAGCAGGCACAAGCATAACAAAGCCAATTGATCCTCCTGTTACCTCAAACAGCGACGGCTTGACCGGTAACTGCATCGTGGAGCTGCAAGGAACCGTCTTTCATCAAGTTAAGACTCAAGCTCTTGAACCTCTCTCTTGAATACTGCCTTGATGCTTTTCTCCAATCGGTACCAGCTTTCATCATGGCAACGAATTCATCATAACAGATTCGCCCGTCCTGAAAAATCGAAAGTTGACAAAGAAAAAATGGGGTAACTATTAAAATATATGGTAAAAGTGCAAAGTTATGGATGACATTCATAAAAGTATCTAACGTATTGAGTTCAACACATCCTATCAGACAATCACTTATTCACAAACTTCGTGTAGGGCTAATAGTTTTCATTTCCATCTCATGGGGAAACCCTTTTCACTCCGCTAAGGCGCTAAGCCCTATCTTTCTATAGGGGTATTTTAGTGACAGGTTCTATAGGAACCAGACGATCCTATTTTCTTTTCATTGCAGAATTTCAGAACAAGATCATGCCCCGAAGTAAATATGAAGAATATGTAGCCTATAGTAGTTCTGTTTCAATTAAGCACCATGAAACTGAAAGTGATTTACAGAGGAGAAATGGAAATCATACTTTGTCGGTGTCAACTTCACGCATGATGTCGTTCAGTGCATCAACATCAGTTTCACCAGATTCATCAGCTAATGCATCCCGTAACTCATCGAGTTCAATATATCCACTGCCATCTTTGTCGAAGAACATAAATGCTCTGCGGAAATGCTCATCGTTTTCCATTTTCTGCAAGTGAATTGTCACTGCTACAAATTCCCCGTAGTCCAATACTCCATTTCCATCAACATCAGCCTGATACAATCATACAAATAGATCAACACAAAGGAAACACAAGTTCACATTCGAATTTTTGGGAGTCAAATGAGATTGTCAGGGGAAATAGGAGTGATAATGATTATATCGAACTAGGTTTTGATCTTTCAGATAATTAAGCAGACAAAAGAACTGGACCATACCACTTCCATTAACATCTTCATCTCTGGTTCAGCTAATTGAGAACCAACCTTCCGAAGCCCGGCCTTCAGCTCCTCGTATGAAACTTTCCCATCATTATCCGTATCCATCAATGTGAACATGTCTTTGATTACTTCAACCTCTTCTACTGATAAGTGCTCTGCGATTACCTACATCATTTACAAAAACTGAATCACCTGCAGGAACTTGAAAATTGCACAATGATTTTGGATCTTTAACCATCAATTTCATATAATCAGCCCAAAAGTGCTTACCCTTAAAGCCTTCTTTTTAAATCTATTCATCACTGAAAACTGCTTGAGCCTGGCTCTCACAATATCTCCCAATGGAACATTCGGAGCTTTCTTAGTATTTTGCAACCAGGGATGTTCTGTGCCCAAAAGAAGGATCAAGGATAAGATTGAACAGTGAAAATCAACACAGCTATTAAAAGAAGTCGTAAATGTCTCTATGCAAGTAGACATCTAATGGACTTTATTTCAAAAAATTTATTTCCTTCCTCAACGACAACAACAAACGGAAGTTTTACCGACTAACTCATTGAATATGGATCGTAGTGCCCACTGTGTTCCTTCAAAATAAATTTCATTTATCTATTCAAAATAATATTGACTAAAATTTTAACTATATAAATGCATACATATGCCAACATTTGACCCAGCCAGCATTTGACCACACAAAGTTGCAAATAATGTTGAGTCCTTTTCAGATGCCAAATGCTATAAACCCAATCGATCCATGGGAATAAAGTTAGCACAAGTTCATTATGGAAGGGATCCGTACTTTCAAGATCACCCTGACCTCACTCTTTATAACAATAATTCAGAGTTTAGGCAGATGGGTCCTCAAATGTTTTCTAGCTAAATATGCCAATTGCTTACTAACAGAAAATTCAACACGATAAGAACTGTTGGAGAACCTACCGAGCACCTGTTGAGCAGTCAATCGTTTCTTAGGATCCGATTCTAACATCTGCCTTACAAGACTCTTAGCACTATCTGAAACTTGTGGCCAAGGTTCCCTCTTAAAATCAATGACCCCTCTCAAAATCGCAAGAGCAACACCCTGCTCAGTCTCTGAAAGTAATAAACACAAACGTAAGGAATCAGAATACATACATGCATACACACATGCATCCATCCATCACATATTAAAATGTAAAGGATGTAAGAGCACAAAGTAATAGAAAAGAATACCTGCCCAAAAGGGAGGAACCCCACATAACAAAATGTAAAGGATCACACCAGCACTCCATACATCAACCTCTGGTCCATAATTTCGTTTCAAAACTTCAGGGGCCATATAATATGGACTCCCCACGATCTCGGAAAACTTTTCGCCTGCAAAAAAAATCCAAATATCAATCCTGCAATCAAGCAGAAATCCATGAATAAATCTCACTAAAACAGTAATCAAACTCTTAAAAAAAGGATTCAGCTGTTGAACAAATATCTAACGGGCAAAATCAGAAATCCAGTCAAATCAAATTATCCGACGCCCGGCAGAGCACTCAGGTCTATTTTGAAAGATACCCAAAAATCAAAAAGCATCGCAAACAAGCAGAAACCTAGTAAATTTAATGAATAAAAATCAACCAAGACCCTGAAAATGAAAGAAAAAATCCTTCTTCAAGACTTCAACCATCCAGTTGGGGAAGCTATATCCAAAATTTTATTAGCTGAAGTTCCAAACCATCAAAAGCCCAGATAAAACCTCAAAAAAGGAAATAAATAAATCCAGCCACGTACCAGGCTTAAAAAACACAGACAGCCCAAAATCGATCACTTTTAGCGGTGAGTGTTCTTTCTTATTAGCGAACAAAAAATTCTCAGGCTTCAAATCTCTATGCATAACACCACTCTCGTGGCACATCCTAACCACCTCAGCTATCGTCTTCGCCACGTTCGCCGCCGCGCGTTCCGTGTAGTGCCCTCTCGCCACAATCCTGTCGAACAATTCCCCGCCTTCACAAAGCTCCATAACCAAATGAACGTTTTCATTGTCCTCGTACGTGGCTTTCAGCTTCACGATATTCGGATGTTCCGGCAGCGTCGACATTATGGCGACCTCGCGACGGACGTCTTCGATGTCTACGGCTGTCCGGAGTTTCTTCTTGGAGATTGACTTGCACGCGAGGGCTTCCCGCGTTTCCTTGTCCGTGCAGAGGTAAGTGATCCCGAACTCGCCTCGCCCCAGCTCCCGGCCGAGGATGTATTTGTCGAAAATTCGAGTTCGGTGACTCAGTGGGATCACGTCTTTCAGTACTCGGATCGGAGCCGGCGAGGCGACTCTGTCGGCGAACGGGTTCGGTTTCCTTTCCCGGGCCTTTTTCTTTCCCTTCTGGTTCTGCTCAGACCGGTTCGGTTTACTTTCCGGACTCTCGTCCGGTCTTACGCATGCGTTACAGTTTCCCATAATCAGAAAGAATTCAAACAACTAGGTAAACTAGGTCGCCGCCGTTGCGGGGTTGGTGGGCGGAGGACGGCGGACGGAGCCGAGGAAGAAAGAAAGAAGAGAAAAATAAGAAAACGCGGGGTGACTGGTCGGTCGAGAAAATGTGGGGGTTATGAAAATTTCTTCGCAGTATGATTATGATTAAATGAAATAATTTTTATAAACCGCTAACTTATAATTTACTCCTACATTTATTAATTTTTTATTTGATCCTTGATTTATTTATTATTCGTATCTCCTCTTGTAACTTAAGAGGTTTTTTAATTTGATCATTAATTTTTTTCTGAAATGACATGTATAATCTCATAATGACATCAAAATATCTAAAGTGAAATGTTGATATGATGAATTGGGTTATGTTTCGATACGAGCATTTGATCCGAATTTAACAAAGTTTGAATTGGATTTTTTGAAAGATAAGATCAAGTCGAGTTTGTGTTTAGATAAAATCTACTCGACTCGAGAACAGGCTTGTCCCAATTGATGTGTAGGTGTTTTACTTTTAAAAATATTGCACCTAAAATATTTTATAATAAATATTAATTTTTCAAATTTGAAATATCAGGTTTCTTTTACTAAAATTCATTATGAAAAACGATTAAAGATATTGTCAAATTCTTCGTCTACAACTTTCTCTATTATTTTTTTAAAAATCAAACAGAAAGTTTATTTTTCCTTCGAACATAAATATCATTAGGGGGACAAATATTATACATGGACAGACCTAAATATCATTCATGCGTGAATTTTGGGGTCCTGTGATTGTGAAGGATCACATTTTATACTTGTCGTTGGACGGGCATGCTCCAGAATAATAATATAATTGTTATAATACATGTTTATCTTCATTTTTTTAATTATATCCCTGTTTTACTTAGTCAAAATAAAAATTATATATATATATATATATTAGATCGAGTCAGGTCAAAAAGAGTAAAGTGTAATTTTTACCTCAAAATTAAATTAGATCTCATATCAAACTGAATAATTGACTAAAATTGTTATACTCCAATTAAACCCGAAGAGGCCAAATATCTGATCTGACCCATCTCATAATCATTTAAATTATATTTGACATAATTGGGTTAAATAATTTATAGTGTATGAATTTCAATACAAATATTTATAGGGTAAATTATGAAGTTAGTCATCCACTTATTTTCAAAATCTTTATCTAACGTTACGTTTAGTTACTCGCTGTTAAAAATAAATAAAATTGTTGAAATCGTAACTTTTTTTTATTTTTCTTCAATGATGATTTACCATTATTTTATGGTAATATGTCAACATCACCATTTTTTTTGAATGAGGATAACAAAATAAAATGTTAGATATAATTTTAATAACAATATGATTAAAACATAACCAAAATGACAATTCAGTGACTGAATACATAGTTTATCCTTGTTTATATTGTTTTTATCATATACATTATAATGTATTATAATTTTAAAACAGTCTGGATATAATTTTAAATAATTATGTTTTTTTCCCTATTAGACAAAGGAATCTCCCAAAAGATTTGTTAATTAATGTTTTTTTTTTCCTTACATTTTATACAAAAGAAAAGCAATCTAATGATTTTTTGGACCCACGAGGGAAAATACTTATTGCAAGACGGCCGTCCATTATTTTTCTGCCCAAAAACATTCTATTTTTAATAAAAAAAATTAGGTTTAATGGTACGAGTAGTCCTCCAAATTCTAAAAATATTAATTAAGTTATTAGATTTTCAGATTAAAAATTGAGTCAATTTTAATAGTTAACATTTTAGATGTTACTATCACGTGGAACGATATGATTGTGTCTCATTAAATTTATAGAGGATATTATTCTCAACATAATTATGGTTAAAATTAAATTTAATTATTGTTATATAAATCGAACTCAACCGAATGTATATTTATTTTAAATTATTTTATAGTGTAAAAATAGATATATTCTCATTGTTGTTCAGTAAATATCTAGGGATGACAATCAACGGGTTGGGTCGGAATTTTTTGTCAACATTACCCGACCAAAAAATATAAATTTAATACCTCCACTCAATTCTTATTCGGTGTAGAATAAGAACTTAATTAAAAAAATAGAAGAATATTATAGTAATTATTCATACATTTATTTAATGAAATTACCCTATTACGTACGAGTCGGGTTGGATTTTTTTCAACTCTCCACTCGAACCTGACCGGACCCAACCTCACTCCTTTAAAAAACCGACCCAACCTGACTCGAATATAGTTTTTTTATATAAAAAAAAAAGTCAAGAGTTCGGCTTAAAATACCTAACTCTAACTGCCATTTAAAACCTTTAGCGTGAGGCATAGGTTAGACTTCGAAGCCTTGAATTTCGTGAAGTAAAAATGAACAAAAAATACATTATTCTAAATTGTTTTGTTTTGACCATTTGCAAAATAAAAATTGCCATTATACCAAAACAACAGGTCGAACTCCATCATCAGTATTTGTGCTATACATAAATTGTAAATTAGTCCTTGTATCTTAATTTTACAGAATTTGGTGTTTGTATTTTTTTGAATTTTAAATTCCAATCATAATCCAAATGATATGATACAAGAACAATATAACTAAATCACTAGGACTTAAAATGGAAAATTTGAAAGATGCGAGCTAAATATATAACTCACACGTAATACAAGGATAATAATAGAATTTGACTTAAAATATTAGATCAAAAATAAAATTTTATGATTTAAAAATACAAGGACAAAAAATGATCAAATCAGAATACAAAAACCAAACTCGCAACTTATGTATAGTATAGAGACTAGTAGGAGAATTTGACCAAGATAAAAAGGATAAATAACACATTTAGTACCTAAACTACTAGTTTTGGTATGTTTTAGTACCTAAGCTTTCAATTATTTCAAAATCATACCCAACGTTTAGTTTTTATTTCATTTTAGTATCCCGTTGTTAAAAACTTAACGGACATGCTCATTGACCGTCGTGTCTACAATCGCCAGCCATTGCATTCGTCGGTCGATGAAGTTCAAACTTTCCAGCCCACGCCTTTTCGATCCCCTGAACTTGATTCTGACCTCCATTTCATCGAAAAATGCCTCAATCTCTATAAATCGACGATGAAATTTTCGACTTCTCCATCCTTTGATCTCCGTCGTCAACTGTTCGATGGGCATGAAACTGGATTATGTTGGTCAACTTGCCATTCTCCCGTGGCCCACTTTCGAATTGGTTGTTCGTCCACCGGAGCTATACCCTGTTAGTTTGTCCATTAAGTTTTTAACGGTGGGGTATGAAAATGAGACAAAAATTAAACGTTAGGTATGGTTTTGAAAAAATTGAAAGTTTAAGTACTAAAACATATCAAAACTAATAGTTTAGACACTAAGTGATGAAATTACCCAAAAAATAGGTGTGGTTATAGGTATTTGCTTAGAATTAACAAAGGTACGGCAGGCCATGGGCATTTGGGGGTGGGAAAAAGTTGGTGGAGACTTGGTCAAATGAGGATTGAAGATTTACCAAAATAGTCTTTGAAAGCACAACTTGGCTTAGCTTAGCTCAGCTTGGTTACATATCCTAACCAACCAGCCTTCTTAATTAATAGCATTTCTACCAAATAAGAGGCAGAAAGCCCATATTGCTGCCCTTCAAAGTCAAACATAATTTATTAGACCACTATCCAAAAAAATAAAATAACAATCTAATTAAGTGATATTAGTCGTAAAAATGAATGTTATTCTTTCTTGAGTTATCGAATTCGGTTAAATTTGTATGATATATGTTCATTATCAATTAGTTAGAAAAATTTTGGATATCTATTACTTTGTAATCACCTTATACTATTGAAGAAATACAGATGGTAAGTTGGTATAACAAAATAAGTATTAATTTAATTTTAGTTATTAAATTAAAATAGCAAATAAATCAAATTTGAAATACACCAAAAAACACAGGAAAAACAAGTTCACATTCGAATTTTTGGGAGTCAAATGAGATTGTCAGGGGAAATAGGAGTGATAATGATTATACCGAACTAGGTTTTGATCTTTCAGATAATTAAGCAGACAAAAGAACTGGACCATACCACTTCCATTAACATCTTCATCTCTGGTTCAGCTAATTGAGAACCAACCTTCCGAAGCCCGGCCTTCAGCTCCTCGTATGAAACTTTCCCATCATTATCCGTATCCATCAATGTGAACATGTCTTTGATTACTTCAACCTCTTCTACTGATAAGTGCTCTGCGATTACCTACAGCATTTACAAAAACTGAATCACCTGCAGGAACTTGCAAATTGCACAATGATTTTGGATCTTTAACCAACAATTTCATATAATCAGCCCAAAAGTGCTTACCCTTAAAGGTAAACCGCTTCCCTTTGGGACTGGCTCTCACAATATCTCCCAATGGAACATTCAGAAACCAGGGATGTTCTGTGCCCAAACGAAGGGTCAAGGATAAGATTGACAGTGAAAATCAACACAGCTATTAAAAGAAGTCGTAAATGTCTCTATGCAAGTAGACATCTAATGGACTTTGTTTCAAAAGTTATATTTCCTTCCTCAACGACAACAACAGACGGAAGTTTTACCGACTAACTCATTGAATGTGGATCGTAGTGCCCACTGTGTTCCTTCAAAATAAATTCCATTTATCAATTCAAAATAAGATTGACTAAAATTTTAACTATATAAATGCATACATATGCCAACATTTGACCCAGCCAGCATTTGACCACACAAAGTTGCAAATAATGTTGAGTCCTTGTCAGATGCCAAATGCTATAAACCCAATCGATCCACGGGAATAAAGTTAGCACAAGTTCATTATGGAAGGGATCCGTACTTTCAAGATCACCCTGACCTCACTCTTTATAACAATAATTCAGAGTTTAGGCAGATGGGTCCTCAAATGTTTTCTAGCTAAATATGCCAATTGCTTACTAACAGAAAATTCAACACGATAAGAACT